TTTTTTTTATACCGTGGTACGAGTATTACATACATAGTATCTATATTTGACTTGCCGTAATAATCCTGTTTCGACAGTGGAGCAATATTTTGCAAACATGGTGTTTGTTCAATGCTTTCACTGCAGATTTGCATTGGTTGTAATTTTAATAACTGACTGTTTAAAAGATATTCTGAAGTTCCTTTCTCTACAAAAGCTTTCGAAGATTTAAAATAGATCATATTTTGAAAATAGAAACCCCAGTTTCGGACCGGTAAACCCACATCTGTACGGAGATCGCTTTTACACCAAACTATTTTTTTCCAAAATTTAAAATGAACTTCAAACTGTTAAAATTTACTTTACAATATGAAAAAAATGTCGGAACTCTGATTCGGGTAAACACGATTTTCATACTGATGCGCATGGAAGTAAGTGCAAGATTTGAAACAAATCGTTCTATCTGTATATGTAATGAGACTTTGTAGCGCTGCAAAGCAACCACTGCTGTCGACAGGATACTTGTGGCGGCATGACGCTCATTGACTGGGAAAATGTTTGGCTACTTAACAAGTTAACGAGCGTCTTCATCCCGCCAATTAGCAGTATTTGGCAGGCTGTGCAAACAGCAGCTAAACCGCACTTAGCGTCCGGCAGCACCGGCCGTAATTAGCCTCCTGCAGCCAACCGGCATTGGCAGCCTGCCGGTGGAATTCAGGCCCGCCACTTCCCTTCCCTGATTTACCAACTCCTCTTCACCTCCAACGCGATCATCGCAAAACCTCCAACGTCAAACGGCAGTTATACAGGGTATCTCTACTGATCGATCGCTGCATTTGTACGAGTGCCTTTAAGTAGTAATATTATTATCTACCGATACATGTACACATTAGCGTGCAGCTTCACTGCATATGGGCATCATGATCAAGTGTTGTTGGCGCTCTTGACACTCCTCTTCAGCGCTCTCCATTTAATGCATGCTCCTTTCACAACGGATAATACGGCTGCCAACTGATCGCTGCTCTTCCTCCGGATTTGCCCGCAACGATTGTAACTAACAACTAATTTGACGGGCTACATGAAAACCGTGCATGCCGCTATTTCCGGTACACATCGATTCAGTCGGAATTCGATCGCTCGAAAAACTGCAAAATCAAATTATTAAAAAAATATTTTTTTATCGTTGGTGATGCGGCACTTATTAGTATGTAGCTTAAAGTTAAACTTAATAATTGGAATAGTTCTACAAGCAATATTAATTAATTATAATTACAAGCTAAAAGCCATTAACAATTCAGTTCTATTAGAAAAATAAAATTTAATTAGCTACAACATAATATTAAATAATAACAAGCAGATTGCGAAAAGTTAATTCATTTACATTTTAGGACACGTTTTGCAAACTGTTTTGTAATAATACGAACATTTGTCGTGACGGTTACATACTGCAAATTTAATCAAGGTACATGGACTAACGCATCAGTCAGCATTGTCGGCAGTTTACGCCCGATTACGGGCCGTGTCGCGGCTGTGCGATGCGGCAACAATACGGCAGCATGGCTGAACTAACACATTCCCAGATCCCCGCCGCACTCATTAGGACACGGGCCTCCGCTTAGCACAAGTACATCGGTCGGGGGTCGCTTTTCATCGGCATGCGGTCGCAACGCTCTACGCGGCCTCGCCGCCGCACCTTCCCCGCTTCAATCATTCACATCCATTGTGCTGTGTTTTCTCTTGTAGGCAATAACAGTACAATATGACATTAACAATAATCTGACTATGTAATGATTTGTTAAATGCCGTATAATTATTCCAGCGCTCTTCCGTTGTTTGCTGAGAAACGCCGCTTTTCAATTTCCGCACGGATAATTATGCTGTTATTTTTACTGTGAATCAGCTGGTATAATTAATGTAGATTAGATGGCCTGTTGCAACTGACAGCGGTAAATTAAATCGGTAAGAAATACAGTACAGCAACAACCAATAGGCAGCGTACTGTATTAATTATCCTCATGTACTGTAATAACAGCCGCATTTAATACCGGCTCACTCGCTCGTCGCTGTCGTACAGGCAGCGCTGATTTAAAGCCGTTTTAGCCCCGCCCGCCCGTTTAGCGCGGCCGACGACCAATCAGCGCGCTGCGAAGCCGTATGAAGCCGTTGCAGTGGAAGCGGGACAGTAATTGCGGGGGATTGCACTGGCCGATTGCATTGGCTGCTGCGATTAGCGCGCGGCTTAGGCGCAGCAGGACTGAACGAGCGCTTCCCTCGAGTGTCGACTGCATTGCTCGCCAAACTCCATCAATTACAATGAAAGAGCACGATCATAACGATTTCCCCTCTCCCAGTCAACCATCTCAACCACCATCCGATTCCGCCGACGTTCGCTCTCGCTAAACGACGCCTACGACATCCTCGCGCATCCACCAACATTTTCTTATTCCTCACCATGTTGCCCTTTGCGGAATTATTCTAAATCTTCAGCACAGAGTTGTGTAATTAATTTCCCCGGTTGATAGAATATTTGACAAGATGTCTTCGGTTGTGTTGACCGCTACTTCAGGCTCGCCACGCAACAGCGAGTCGCCTTCGTCGACGAGCAAATCGCTGGAGAAGGAGGAGGCGCTCCTGCGCAAGCGCCCGGCCTCCACGGTGTCCTCGTCCAGCTCGACGGCCAGCGAGCGCGAGTCCAGCGAGGACGGCCAGCGCCCGCCGCCCTACCCCGCCAAAAAGGTCAAGCCCAGCTTCTCCATTCAGAGCATCCTGGCGCGCCCCGAGCCGCTGCGTCCGGCGCACACGGGGCTCATCTCGGCGGCGCCGTTCCCCCCGCATCCCGCCCCGCCCCCGCTGCACGCCGGGCACCTGCAGAACTACACGGCCACGGCGGCCGCGCACATCCTGCAGGCCAACCTGCAGGCCGCCGCCGTCCACTGCTTCCCGCACCATAAATTCCCGGCGCAGACGCTCTTCTACCCGTGGACAATGGCCGCCATGCAGGGCCTGCATTCCGCGCAGCATGAGCTACCTGGTAAGGCACTCTCATTCACATCCAGCCGGGCAATTATCGCTAATTTGCGGCGATCGGCGTTTTGTCGCAATTATGCCTTTGTCCCGGAATAACAGGCGCAGAACCAGTAATGAGCCGGCTTAGACGCGCCCTAACAATGTGTATGGTGCTGTGTACCGCTCACCGCGCCAAACAATATCTACTTCAAGTCAGACGCATTCAACTCGAGGACATGTGTATTTATGACAGTGTTATCTTTAATTCAGCTGTTAGTTATCGCTCGACAAGCAAACAAATTATTTTGCAACTGTTGTCTGACAGCAAATGAAAGAAATATATAATATAATGAATTTAAAGGTCAACAAACTGTAGCGTCTTAGTTTCACATTTATGTAGCTATTTTTATATAAACGTATTACATAATGTTTTAATGTTTTAATATAAACATAATTATAATTACGTATTCGTTTACTTATATTATGTAAACAAAAGCGTAATGGTGCAATGCTACTGTAATCTTCGTTCGTGTTTTTTGGCTAATGATGACTGGAGCGTCTTCGTGAAACTTTTTGTAATACGATGAATGTGTTAAATCTATGAAGATAATAGCCTTCTTACTCGTGTGAAATATGAACATATAAACATAATGCTTTTAATTTTTTCGCAAATATTAAAAAAATTGTCTTGGTTAGTAGCCGTCGGATGACATCCTATATGCTTGAACACGCACACGCTGCTACTCGTGCGCTGTTGTTTAGTTTTGCTAAATAAATTTAAAGTTGTGTAACCTTTGGCCGGCTTTGGTATGGCGCCTGTGATAATGTCCCTGCCGTTCGTTGTCGGACGTGCAGCAGCGCGATTCGCTGGAGCATGCAGTTATTGTTGTGCGTGCTGCAGCAGACAATGCTAACACAGAGTTAATCTGCGCTAATTGCCGCAAAGTAGATGAGCTCGGTTAAAGAGCGGCTGCATTATATTAACTAAAAGGGCACGGCAGTAAATAGCACTACTTGACGCAGTTATTAGCGTTTAACTTTGGCCATTGCTAGGATTGTCATCTAGCCTTTATTAATTTTGTCAAACTGGCTTGATAGAAGGACACCTTTTAAAAGTACTGGCGAAACCAATAATGTTCACTTTTGTCAGCATTTTTTTCTTCGGATATACTGTATATCCGCGATCGATGATGTAATTGATGTCAATAACAGTAAGAAATTCATTGCCATACAGTTAGCAAGAATGTCTTCTTAATCAGTATATATACGACTGAATAAGAAAAATAATTTCAAGAGTGTCATTATACTGATACTGTAGTAAAAAGGTGATAAATGACGCTTTGCGCACTTAGAGAGAATTAAGCAGGTTTCTCAAGTGACTGGAAAATTAGGGCCTGAGATTAGCAAAAAGATAAAATCGCTCGTTACTTAGTGCTCTTGGTTTGGTTAACAGAGAATTTGTCGACAAAGCCTTCTTGCCGACGGCAATAAATCTGCAGCGGAGTGCGCAGGCGGCAGCCGGCAATTCCCTGCTCTTCGCCGCCAACTATTCCAAAGCGGAATCCCTGTCCAACGAGCACATCGGGAAAAAAGCGCCCCTGGACGCACCTCCAGCAAAGGCCACGGGCAGTCGCAGTCAGGTTGCGGTCTGCTGTTGCCGGACGGTCCCTCCGACCGGGACTTGGGCGCCCTCCACCGCCCGACCCCGCCGTCGCGCTCCCCACCGACGACGCCCGGCCCCTCCGAGCCGGACGACAAGCCGCCCGCCCCGGGGCTGCTGTCCGCCGGGGGCCCGCATCCCTGCCACCGGGACCGGGACCGGGACCGCGACGCCGACAACAAATCGCCGTCGTGCGCCTCAATTGCCGGCTCAGCGGCCGGCTCGGACGCCGGCAGTTCCAGCCAGCTGCACCGCCGCAAGAAGACGCGCACGGTGTTCTCGCGCAACCAGGTCTACCAGCTGGAGTCGACCTTCGACGTCAAGCGCTACCTCAGCAGTGCGGAGCGCGCGGCGCTGGCCACCAATCTCAACTTGTCGGAGCAGCAGATCAAGATATGGTTTCAGTAAGTGCCTAGCTGCAATTACCGGCTACTGCAGGTAACTATACGGCTTCGTAGGAACCGGCGGAACAAGTGGAAGCGGCAGATCTGCTCGGACCCGGACATGTCGCAGCAGATGAACGCCCCGGCGCGCTTCCTGTCCGGCCACGAGAACGCGGCGCTCTCCATGCAGCTGTACCCCTTCGCCGCCGGCGTCGGCGTCGGCGTGGGCGGGAGTGGCGGGGATGGAGGAAGTCGGCAGAGCGGCGCCGGGCTGCTGGCCAACCTCTTCTGCCCGAACAGCCTCCACCCGGCGCTCTACCACGTGCCCTTCTCGCGCTCCACCGTCTGACGCGCGCCGGGCACTGTTTGCGTGGTGAGCCTGACGGCCAACGGCTGTTTTATGTAGAATTGCGGTAGATCCTTGATTTGGCATGTATCATCTAGTCCTTTAATGTTCCCTGCTACCGGCGAAAAAATCGCCGATTTGATACATTTATTGAACGGTTTTATTTCTATGCTCTAACAGTATTATAACCATTCGTATTAATAAAAATTCTGTCGAGAAGATTTTCTATTGTCCCACATATATATCTACACGCGAAAGGTCACCACAACTTTGTTGTGCGTTGACTCGTAGTTAATTGTGATTACTCCATTCGTGGATGTTTCCAAATTAAGTGTGATTTAGCTGTTAGCACATCGCCGTAATTGGAAAGGTGAAGCGGTGAAATCAGAGTTGAATGTCAGATGAGCGGCGGAAACCGGCGGGCCGGGGCTAACAAGAAGGCCGGATACACGGCGTATCTGTGCATTAGACGCGGGCTGACATTTCAAGTAAATTAATGCCGCTAATAGATTGAACGGTGGCCAGCGCGGCCCGCTGGACAAATAGGGCACTTATTGTGCACCTTTATAAACCTTTATGTGCGGAGCAGAGAGATGATTATTTGCCTGACAGCGATCAACACGCGCGGCACTTGTTTGGACTCGCGCAATGAAGTCCTATCGCTGCACAGAACAGAACAGAATGCTGGCGTGCAATCCGGCTGCATCACAATAATTGTTTAACCTTTCAGCCGTTTCAGCCGGCGCTGATTTAGTGATGAAAGTCGCGCAGATGAATCTTGATTTTCCATAATTAATAACATAAGTAATAGATCTGCCACGGCCGGCAAATCCCCTGAGCGGCCGCGTCAGACGCGGAATCCGCGTAATTGACGAGATGCAGCGCATCCATAGGTCTATTATCCGCGCAGCATCCGCATCGGCCGGCTAATCGGCAAATCAAGAGCGGAATCAGGATAAATTGCGGCAGCAGCGATACACAGTAACGCAGGCGTATATATCACGCTGACGGATAGCGGCGTTCAAATCCCAGCGCAGCACTCGCACTGCCATTACACGTCGCTTTCCGCTCGCTCACTCGCGCGTCCGCCTAAACGCCGCTGCTCATCCTAATCCGCAACAAAATTGCCTCCCGTCCATGACATGCATGTATATGCTGGCAGTCGATCAATAGCGTTTGGATTAGCCCGCTAACAATAATTATCCGCCTCTCCATTATGTCGCTGTTTTCCTCCGCCACAACGCTTACCCCGAAAGCGTCTCCTACTCTCCGCCAATTGCTTAATTGCTCGCCAACGTGCTTCTTGCCTGCAAAGGGTTTTTACACACAACCCAGTAAACAACGAAAACAACTATCTGCTCATGTTGTTTAATTTGACATTGCTGTTAATATCTATATACCATTTTAAGTTTATGTGTAATTTATTTATTTCTGTTTATATAAGCACATATTTATATGTATGTAGAATTTCTTTCGTATGTACATACATGAATGTAATCGTAAATATATAATTTTGTAAATATATACGTAAATATATATATAAATATATATAAACTCGTATATACATGTTTATATATATACATGTATATAAATCGTGTATAATTATATATATAAATCGATTCAAATAATCTGTCAGCAACAATACGTTAAAACAATAACAGGCACTTTAAGAATTTTTGATGAAGTGTTTGTACATATTCTGCGGGTGACCTTTAGTGATTGTGGGCGCTTGCCGGAGAAATATGAGACGGGGAATTGGTTGGTGCTTAGCGGCATTAATGATTATTAATAGCCACGAAATGGGAAATGATTCGCAGAGTGGCGTTGATGGGAATGCCGGGAAATTAAATTGAGGAGGAGCGGACTAGTCTGTAGTGGCATCGGCGCTGTTGAGGCAGCCCGTTGAGCTGGCCCCGCGGCGACAGCGGGCCTTCCACCGCTCGCCCGGCAATTGCAGGCTGATCGGGAGGGAAGTGCGCGGCGCTGAGACGGGAAGCGCCGGCACTTCCATCCATCGTGGCCGGCAGCGATGGATGGGATGCGCGTTAATTCCCGGCGCAGAGTGACGATCTGTACGCGACTTACACTCACTCAGTCTGCATTGCTGCATGCATATCTCGCAGCTCGCGCGGCGCCGATGGATCACGACACCTCCGGCCGCCACCGCGCTCCTGCCTTACAAAAAAACCAAGGCAGTGTACAGATACACAAGAGCCATTTCATCCACAAGGATTGTACCGCTGCACGGCACAAAAAAAACGTTTAAGACGAAGACCAGTTAATCGTTCTTCTTCATTTAGGTTCCATGATATACATTTTATTTATAATACTTCCACTTATATCTGTTTGGTAAAATTACTACCCGCAAGAAAACGTTGTACCAAGCTGCGTTCCATCAAAACAGGAAACAGTTATAGAGAAACAGCTTTCGCACAGCAGTTCAACTGTTTTATTATGCTAAACTTAATTTGTCAATCCACCATTACAGCTTTATTTTGACGCAGAGCCGACACCAAGTACTAACGACGGAAAAGAATTATTACTGCATCTGCAACAATGCGGTAGTGGAAACGAGTTTGACTGTTTATTACTACTGTGAATTTGTTCTTCGACCGTGTTGCGTTCAGATACATTAATGTTTGCGTTTTATGAACATCATCTTGCACTTGCATCTTGCATTTTATTTTATGAATTTCTTGCGTCGTGATATTATTTGGCACTATAAACCCACCAACCATCAATTATTAAAAATTATTAAGGAAGTTGTCTAATGATTAATGGTGAAATCGCCATATGTTTATATTATCAAAGTGTGAGCTTGAGTATTACGCATCTCAACCGTTCTGAAGAAAATTTCTTGTTACGTTATAGCGAGTGTTATTAGTGGCAGCGCCTGCAGCTGATTTATTACTTAATGCTTCGGCTGTCGCCGTTTCCGGTGCTTGTTGGTGAGCGGAGTAATTGCCGGTGACCTTTGCAGTACATAATATTATTCAATCCTGCATTCAGTTAGATTGAAGGTTGCACTGAGAATATGGAAACACAGCATCTACGATTACCATCCTGTTTTGACCGCAAATGACTGGCGAGTTAGTGTAAGTGTAATCTAGCCTAACAGCATTATTAGGCCCGGTGCAACTCATCCCGCAACCAGGCACCAACGGGAGAGCGGTGTATAGCGGTTGCAAGCGGACAAATAACCCATTAATCTGCGTTAGCGGTTGGCATTAGTCGATGGATCGGCCGCGGCGAAATTGCGCGCGAGAGCCCGCTGCGCGCTGCGACTGCGGTGAAAAGGGTCAAATTGCGCTGCAGAGTGTGGAGCGCGCTGGAGCTCGTATCCCGGTTGTGACGTGGGTTATTAATGCGCTGCCTAAGTGGCTCGATGCTCGGGATCGCGGAGCGACAGTGCTGCAAGAAGACGGATGATCAATTAAGTGTCGTGCTGCTGGATGGATCGATATAAGGGCCGCGGGAGTTAATAGGCGCTGGTGTTATTTAATCTGCCGCGGTGCCGAGCATGTTAGGCTTAATTTCCGCTACAAATTAAACCTCTTACCGGTAGAAACGCCGGAAATACCAAACATACCCGGCTCCGATCATCCGATGCGCGGGACAGAAATTACGGGCTGAGTGCTCTTCGCATTGCTGAGCCTCGCGTCGACCTCGTACGCTTCAATTAAACTAAACCTTCGCGTGGGCGCCCAGGAGAGGACAAGCGCGGCCCCGCTTAAACAACACGATGTTGCTGACGATAATCTTAATGGAGTGCCTCTTATGGCACGCCATGCACCGGCAGCGCTGACGCACGCACTAAGGGAAGATTACGCTCCTCTTCCCGCGAAACGCACTTTAATTAAGCGATAGACTCAGATTACCGTCCAATACAGATATTCGCCTAATGCATTACCGGGAAAATAAAATGGACAGCAATAACAATCAAATCAATACACGGCACATCCAGAAATTAAATATTAATCATAGCTAAACCACTGTATGTATACATTCATTTATATACGTATATCTGCCACCGTATATATACGTTATATATATGTATATACGTTCATTTTGACAGTTAATAAAACAAGTTATTTATTACCGTATTATTATATAAGCCGCGTCTAATGGCCGTTGTTCATTTGAAGAGCAAGAAACAATAAATGTTTGAGCATTTTTCGATACTTTACTGTAAACATGTTACCGGCAATCATCGCATTAAATCCGTTAATGTGGTGTTAAACTGCTATTTAAGGCGGGCGTGGCCTGTTTATAATAACATTTATCCGCCAATGTAATGGTTATGTTGCTGCGCTCGATTGGCCGCCGCACTGCATTATAAAGCCGTTTAATCCGCCGTTTGTCGCTATAATTAGCCAGCCGGCTTACTGCGCAGCGGGCGGTCAGTATTTTTTCCTAATGTACACTGTACATTATCGCTGCATCCATCCCGTGATTCCCTCGGATGGATGCGCGGCTAGAATAACAAATGCGCTGCCCGTGGCGACGCAATCCACATCCCGCCGATATACTGTACTGGTATCAGGGAAAAAGGAAAAACTGGCCGGCATGACATTGCCGGTTAATTGTCACACATCGGAGGCAGATTTGCTTTTGATTTGTGTCACTCCAACTGCCTTATAGCCGCAGTGTACAGTACCCAGTTGGCAGTCGCGGGAGCGGTGAAGCAGGCCAAATTGCCTATCCTGCGAATTTTCCGCCGACATGCGCTCGCTCACAGTCGGCCGGAGCGAAAAGGGATCATCCGACTACGAGATGAGATAGATGCGCGCACTGCCTCCTCTTTGTGTGATTTACACGGCTTCGCATTTCACTGCAGACACGCAGTGGTAGTTTGTGCAATGACTAAACTTCAAACGTTACATTTACTTTAATTGCCGGCTAATTTCGTGTCTGGTTTGCCTGCAGCTTCCACAGTATTCGGCAATTTATAAGTTGCATTTAAGAACAAGCTACTTCGCCACAAATTGCACGTATTTAGTACATCGGTTCATGTACATCGTACGTACATCCTTACATGTACAGATGTGTTAATTATTTCTGTGCATAAAGTCACATGTACAACAAGGGCCATACAAAAAACAATAACTATTAAAATTTTGTACCTTTAATAAACTGGATTATGCAGTTGTCCAGAAAACATACAACTCGTTACGTATTATAGCGCGAGGTATCGGTTGTTGGAAAAATCGCAGCACTCGTACATACTTAATATTATGATTTCATAAAAAGGGTTTGGAGAACTGTACTGGCAACGAAACCGTTGCTCACCTTGCATAATATGTCTTTCTTTGCACAACAGAATTCAACTATTTAAACTGTGTGCCCGTATCCAAAAGTATCTTAAATTTGCGGAGCACGTTAGTAACTTTGTGCAATATAGATTTCGCAAATAACCCGTTTGTCGCGATATGGCGTGTTAAGAGATTTAACTACATTTAAAATATGCGAAAGATTTAAGCACATTTTGGCGCACCAAAATTATTTATTTTTGAATTTAGCAATCACTAATCAGTAAAGCAGTTAGTAAAGTAGTAAGTTTGAATGAGTAAGTTTTGATTGATATTATACATAATACCGAATTTTGTTCAAAAATCCTTTTTAAACGCATTTTATAAAAACGTTTCGAAACATCGGATAGAAAACAGGAGAGTCTTTGGTGCAGCAAAATGCCGTAAATCTGTGTTCATTTTAATCCGGCACTTTCAATGACCGGAAGTTGCGGTCATGGATACAAGTTACAACGCAATTAGCCTGCAATGCGAAGCGTTTTGATGTACTTTTGCAAACACATCAAAATCACGTTCCAGTGCGCTTTAATACAAGATAAATACTGCGGCTAACAACATCATCCGAACGGCACCGACGACAGATAGCGGTTGAACGTTAGATCCGTCCAGGGCAGCGCGAGTTTAGCGGCGGCGGCGGAATTGTTGAAATAGCGGCGGATCCCGACGCGCTTCTTCTGCCAGTCCGGCTGCAGTTCGCCGGGGACGAGGGCGTTGACGGGGACGGCCGGCAGCGACGGGAGCGGGGCGGGAACGATGCGCAGCTGCGGCGCCGACGAGAGGAGATTAGAATTCAGCGGTGATGGTTCCGGCGCCTCGGTGTTATTGGCGGAGACGTTGGCGGCGGACAGCTCTGCAAGGTCGACGGCGTGGCGCGGCGGCAGCGGCGTTTCCGGTGTGCGGAAGTTGATGTGGAATTTGCGCGGTTGGCTGGCGGATTCGGCTAGCTGCGCTCGTTCAGCAGAGTGGCCGGCGCTGTCCACGTGACTGCCGTGCCGCGTGGAGTTGGCCATCGTGTAGCTGGGCAGGAAACGCTGGCGGACGAAGTCGTGGAAGAGCTGCTGCATGCCGGGCAACGGCCCGACGGCCGGATCCATCACCATGTGCGGGTCATCTGTAATTCGCGAAGTTTTTGCAGAACGTTCACTGTATATATGCTAATAATGCTATACTATATACAGTACATGTATTAAATTACTGCGCCTGATTACTGTGACTGCTTATAAATAAACTGCAGTGCTTGTCGTATATATGTATGTATATGTCATACTAAACGCATATACACTTCGGAAGTATAAAAATAATATTAATGTTATACAAATTTTATCTTTTTCTGTAATAAATATATTTTTGCGCATAATATTGATTACAAGTTTTTTAACTAACCGTTGACGGGAGCGTGCAGTTGCTGCTCGTGCGCCTGGAAGCCGGAGCGCTCGCGGTTATGGTGACCTCCATCCGGGAAGCCGGATTTCCAGTCTCCGCGGAAGTCCCCGTTACTCCCCGGCATCGACTGCAGAAATGGATCCATAAGCCCGTTACTCTGCAGCTGCGGTTGTTGGTGCTGCGAAGTGAAGTGTGGATGGCTCTGCACGGCGAAGTTGACGCCCTGGGCCAGGACGTTCCCGTCTGCATTCACCACGCGACCGTCGAAGTGCGGCAGGCCGTCGTCCGCACGCATAGGCTGCTGGTTCTGCAGGAACACTCCCCCGGCGTTGTTCTGCAGCGGAGGATCGTTTTGCGGGAGGAAGTTGTTGTTGAGAACGGGGAAACCGCCGCTGGGCGGCAGCTGCGCCGTGATGGACATTTGCGAGCCGCCGTTGTTGTTGCCCGGCTGCATGCCCGATCCGGCGGGATTGGGTCGTTGAAGCTCGGCCACGGGGATCCCGGCGCTGTCGGCGCTCCCGGCGGGCGGCAGCTCGTCCATGTTCCACGAGTAGTCGCACCATTTCTGCTTGTCGTTGAACACCAGACCTGCACGAATCAGTTGGTTAGCAACGTCAAATTTTTGGCACGATCATTTTCATGTAGTCGGCAATACTGACCTTTGGGGCAGGTTTGATGGTACCACCTGTACAAATCAGGAAAATAATGTAAACGTACAAATTGCTGGAAAAGAAAGGTACTGTATCTAAATGTTCGACTACGTACAGATATATTAAATGTACTGTATGTACACGAGTACGTAATTTTATACAAAGTAAGTATACACATGTTATATCTATATGTATAAAGAAGATACGTATCATGCATGTATACATAATTTACCGTACGTATAATGATGTATAGTAAATTATATCTTTATATTACGGTATTCTCTATTACACAGTAGATCGAATGTGCATATCTGCGCGGTGCGAACATTAGCGGAAATGCACGTACCGGAAGCTCCAGCAGTTGTAGTACTTTCTGCGATCGCGGCGGTCGGGGAAGATGCCCTGGGCGGTGGGGCAACGGAAGTCGGCGCGGCGGACGCAGTGCGCCGTGTCGGGCAGAGCGGACTCCGGCACACACCGGCCGTCCTTCGGACTGAACATCTACTTACGAAACGGAAACGGTCAGGCAATTATATCGCTCCTATTGCGAATCTGTGGCTGCTAGAGGCAGAGTGCACTTGAGGTGCTGTTATATAATTATAGCGGTACGTACCCACTGTTCGGGACAGGTGACGAGGAAACTACGCCACTGCTGACAACGCACGAAGAGCCCGCAGTCCTGCTCCAGCGGCACACTGGCCTGCTCCGTCTGGCACTGGAACGACAGGTCGCCCTTGTTGAACTGCTCCACCAGCCGCGCCATGATGCGCCCGCCCGGGTGCCCGGCGCCGTACTGGTTGAACGAAGCCAGTTCTTGCGGGGTCGCTGCAGTGTGCATGCCACGTTTTTATTATAAATATTATATACGAGTTATGTAATATTATGTTATGAATATTATATATATACATGAATATGATATATATATATATATATATATATATATATATATATATATATATAGTGTTATGAATCGTCATGAATGTTACGTTATGAATTGGCTCGTATATTTATATATTATGTTATAAATATTAGTCCACTTCGATTGATTTAGCCGAATAAAAACAACGGCTGACTGACGGTGTAGTTCCTTCCTCAATAATAATTTGTTACGAAACATTAATAAATGAACCAATCAACGATTAATGCGAAATTATAAACTTAAATAGTTAATAGTGATTATTAACCACAAGGAATACTCGTATTGTTTTTCGTGCTAAGCCGGCGTTAACCGAACGCCGCAACTGCAAGTAATTCAGTTGCTTATACACTATACGGTAGTACGGATCTGTATCTATGTATAATATAGTAATACTAAGAATGCTGTGGTTGAAGAGCTAATAATATAACTATCTGTATTGTCCAAATAACAGGTATGTATAATCATCGAGAACAAGATGACAGTTGTCTGTGGAAATAACTTTTAAGCGCTAACGAGCTGTTTTTTGAAATATTTATTACCTCATACTTTCTTCCTAGCTGCTTGCGTTTTAATAAGAGCATTCTTAGAAAAAACGCGTTGGCAGCATTCTTAGTAGAAATTAGCCAGTTTAAAGGGCAATTTATTTCTATGACGGTTTCATGTAAGGGTATACTCTGTATATAGGTGGTATATCTATATACCGTATAATAAATGCAAAATAACCATTTTCGTACATACGTACGTCATCAATGGGATAATAATTTCAAATGTATGTTATATTTAATTGGTTTCCTTCGTGTTTAACAACAACGATTATACTACGGTTACAAATTCCAAAAACAACCAAGGGATAATAATAGTTATCCTGTTGTGCTAATACTCAGCATAATACGTAAATATGACCAGCCCGCACAGTTAGATACAGCGTACTGTATTTCCGGCTGCATAAATGGCCCGTAGTGCGCTGAACACGATTATTGAGTTGCTCATTACATTACCTGAGAGGCAGCGGACGTTGTCGGGCCAGTCGCAGACCTGGTCCTCGGGATTGAAGTGCAGCGTCTCGGGACAGGCCTGGATGTGGTAAGTGCCGTCCAGGCACGTGATGAAGGCGCCGCAGTCCGTCGGGTGCGGGTACAGCCCGTTGGGCTTGCCGGCCGGACACGGCGTCATCGCGCTGGCCGATGACACTTCCCGTTTCCCACACAAGAGTATCAGGGGAACGAGCAACAACACGCTATACCAGGCAAGTTTTCCTTCGGGGAATACCATGATTAACTAGAGATCAGTGGCGGCCAGTAACGCGTCCACACACGGCTATCTGGGCGCCTTACAAAATCCACTTCCGGTCATTCAGTCAATCGGCTATAGCCTATACCGATAGTGCCGAGATGTTGACCAAGAGCAGGCGTATCCGGGCCAATTAATCCTTATTAATAATTAATAATAAATACTGCCGGTATCCGCTGGTTAACTGGGACCACTCAGAACGTTAAAATTACGATAAGCGCCGATTCGGTAAGGACGGTCAGTGGCGCAGGTAAATCGGCGATTTGTTCGGGGCAAACATGTTGCGTGCGCAAGCGCAGGATGGATGGCTAAATAAAAAACACTGATATATGTTGCATAGAGTGCTGCCGTATCGATCATCGGCAGCCCATCAAATATTGATATTCATTCGGTCAAACAATAATAATTCGCCTGTCAACAGTTGTTATAGTAGCCGCAGTGAATGCCAATGGACGCCCACTGCCGATGTATACAGTACTGGCGATACTGCCGGCAGCGGCGTGGATGCCGCAGTTATATGGACGACGCGTATCCGCCCGGATTCGGTTACAGTAGCGCTGCATCTGTTCTGTACCGGTAGCTGTGTATATCGCCGTGTTGACGGTGGACGCGGGTTTGATTACTGTGGCCCGGCACATGTGATGGATGGCCGCGCGCTGCACAGCACCGCCAGGTGGACGGACCCGCGGCTGACATGCTCCCGCACCGTCGGCTTAACGCCGACACCTACGTATCTCCACACTATACCGCCTATTAACATACGCGCGCTGGCCACTGTCCGGCGCATATTGGTATGCGGCTTATTACAGACAGGCCGTTTCCGGTACATACCTTCCATCTTCGGAACTATTACCCTATCTCTATTGCAGTTGTCTGTACAGTGTAAACACGTTATGCCAGTGGTCGATTTAAACTATTGCTACAGATAAACATTCGAATTCATTTACATTATTATACACCGTTTGCGAAAGAATATGAAATTTGCAAGCTGTCCGTATAATTCATGTGCACAAAGCAGTTTTTTTGGCGGCTAATCCTTGGCTCGCACTTTACGGTTCGAATACAACGTTCGCTATGTAACTAATTTAATTCTGTATTGGTCCTGATGAATTACATCAGGCGGTAATTCATACAATTTGGAATTTTCCTGCAATGCTAAACAAGACTTTTGCATTATAACGTCTTTGTTTATTATTATACGCATGCAATCGGCAAAAATCAAGTGATTTTTGCCGCTCTTTAAAAAGAATACTGTTTTTTTGAAAAGAGAATTTTATAAGAACATAAAAAGCTATTACGATCCGGAGCGTTTAAATTTTGCCATCCGGAAGCCGGTTTGTTGTAATTATGGTAATAATAGCCAAAGCAGATGGTTTGACACGGGTTTACGCGGACACGGCAAGGACCTCTGCTGTGGTAGACAAAATTAATTCAAATCCCGACGCGTGAGTCGTGGCCGCACAGCACGCCACGCGGGACATCCTTAAGAGTTCACCGGCATGATGAATGTGTGTGGCGGTGATTAATTAGTCGGGAAGGACGCCGGCTACCTGTATCTGCAGAGCGCGGCGGGCAATTTGCCGGTCGCCGCTTGCTGACCGGCGTAGCGTGACGGATTAGCGTCAGTCTGTCCACCTTTGTTGTTCCGCGCGTCCCCTGCCAACGTTGGCCAACGTTGGCAGCTGACTGGCAGACTGACCCTTGTTGACAGTTATCGATTACGCCGTTCTGCTTGCCCATCGCATAATAATACCATACGCAACAACACCAGTCGCTGCCGTATTTTAAAATAGATACAATTCACTGTATTGGTACATGATACCGGCATGATTACGTGTACACGCAACGCGTTGCACCGGCAGCCTGGAGTACTGTCGCTGGACAGCCAGCCGCCACTCGATCTCGCTGCCCCGAAACAGGAAGTATCCACTGCATACGCCGATACCGGAAGCCATCCAAGCTAATAAGCTACCGGCAATCAACGCGCATATGCTGACAGTCTGCACTATAAAGGCTCGACGAATTGAAATTACAGAAAATGTATTTAATACTTCTATTAGTTGTTTTGTTCTGCTCGATCACCTATGAAGTTCAAGAACATACACGTTTTACGAGCTGCACTGCCACTTGAAAAGAACACGTAGAACATAAATGTGACTTTTCAGTATGCTGCTTGTTTTATTTTTAACCAACTCAAGTAAACATTGTTTAACCATTTGTTATTTGTAGCTGTAAAACACAGTCTAACCTAAATTTTTTTTGGATACTTTTTTACTTAATTTTTTTATTTGTATATTTCGTTGTATATTCGCAATTTTAAGAATATTTCATATATATGTTTGATTCCGGCTGACTTAATGCACATCTTCCACCGGCCCTGAACGGAACAAAACGCTCAAATCTTTAAATGCATTGGAGTGTACAAAACGTCTCATCCTGAACCGATATCCTCAAAATTTTCCATGTAAGCGAATGTAAGTAAATAACTGAGTATCTGAATTGTTTCTGCACTGAACCAGACTTCCACAATTGTTTTCCAGCTTTTGAAATGACTTCTACATTTTATGTCTTTTGCAAAGTTTATGTGTTTTAAAAAAGACAATTTACGAGAGCGCGCGAAAACGAAAGTTTCCGTGCATGTAAATGCATTAATTGGGTATCGTGTAATTTAGCAACATGTACTATGCAAACGTTGTTCGAAGTTTGAACTTTTCGGTAATTAATGAAATGGACTGTATACGGCACTGTATGAAATGGACAAACAGCATTGGCGTTTGTTTGGTTTTTGTTGCTAGTAAGTTTGGTAGGTAAGCCTCCATTTATTGCATTTTGAAAAAAGGTTATTGGAACAGTTTGTAAGGTTTACCCAAAAGAAAAAGTTCTTCTGTTACACTATTTGAATATTCATTGCTCCACGTACGCAACAGTGTTTCAAATGGTCATCGAAGGTCACCGTGAACTTATGTCTGTACCGGTACGGCGGTACCGGCTTCCGAGCGATGGCCCCGGCACCGATATTTTTGAAAGAAAAATGCATGTGCAACCCTTTTAGAACATGCTGAGTTAATAATGGTGAAGTCGGTTTTTTTAATTTACGTGACGGTCTTGTCTAGCCATGTTCCACGTGACGGCAGATCATCTGTTTCCTTGATATACTTATATTTAGATAAGTGCCTGTACAAGTTTGCTCCGTAATTTCTATCGTAAACGGTTGATTTAATTTTACCGTGAATTTTTATGATAAATAAATTCGATTGACAAATTTTTCAATTTTACAATAAATATGTTCATACCCGATATCAATATTTTACGCACATCAGCCATGCCAACTGGCAACTGCTTTTAACGCGTAGGGAGTGTGGCGTGGCGGGCCGGGGTCTGGAGATTAAATTAGCATAAGTTCGTAACCCATGAATCTGAACTGCTCGCTGTACAGACACGGACGACACCTTTCCGCAAGGAATTATTCACCTGGCTAAAGTGTACATACAAGCTGTCCCGTAATTTCTATCGCTTCAACTCACCGGCTAATGCAAATGCACTGATTACGCCAGTTTGCACACTACGGCGCGCCACGCCACAGTACTTGCGCTCTACGCTGACGCCCCTGCTTAGCCAGCTGCATCACGCCGGTGACCTTTATAATAAACATAATGATTATTATCCACCATGTCGCAAATATCGAAACGGAGTCTTGCTTTGTTAGTGACCTTTGCAGCTGTTTTTATCGTTGTCGACGCGAGTATTATCAGCCGGATGGACGACGGCAGCAGCGCCATCTATGTACAACCGCAGCCGCGCTCCCGCCGCCGCGATAACCATCACCAGCATCGTCCACCTCCCGCACCGGTAAAGAGCGGGCCGAAGATCATCAGCAAGGGTATCCTGCACGGCAGTAAAGCGCTGCCACAGCGGCTCAACGTCAAAACCGGCATTTCGGCTACATTTTGTGGCTGCAGCCGCGCGATATTTCCTTTCGGCTGGCCACTGACCAAGCAACCTCCTACGGCAGGCGACCCTTGACTCTGTGTGTATTAACACAGATCAGTTATTATTTTTTATTCAATTTATTTATTTGGTTTTGTACACCGTAATAAAATTCACGGAATATGAAAACGCTGAAAACGGAGTAAATAAAACCGGGGTGATTATTTTTGGTATTTATTACTAATACGGTAATACCTTAATCCTTATACATATATAAGCATAATTGTCATTACTCATAATAATATTATAAAGGCAAATACTGTAATTATTATTATCTTTTTCGTGGTAAATCATAATTATAGTTTTGAAAAGCGGGTTAATTAGTTTTATCAGAAAATTAGTTATTACTGGAAAATATATTTAAATTATCGAAAGCCCGAAAATTTTAGGGCGCATAGTCAATTTGCTATGCGCCCCAAAAATTGCAATTAAACTTTTTTTACTTCAGTATTTACCTTTTTTGTTACTTCTATATCAGTAAAAAAATTAATTTTGCCGAAATCTGTGCAGATCGTTAGTATCAGCCGGCATCCCCGCAAAATTGGAGCCACGAGGTACACGCATCCCATACGTCAGATCGTCAACCGGAAGGGTGCACCACGTTTGCGTGGCAACACGGCATGTGTTTGGCATGAGACGTGACCTGCGTGGATACCGTCGCTGTGTCTCACCGGAAATCTACGTCAGTTACTGCGGGATCCGCCGCCGCACAGGCGGAGGATAGAAAAGCGGGATTTTTTTCATACCTAGCTGCAGGGCAAATACATCTTCGCACCGCTGGCTTTTGAATCTCTGGGACCATGGGGGAAGTCAGCCAGCCGTTTAGTGAAGGAAATCTGGCAAGCGACTTCAGCAGCATACGGGTGAGCCTCGCTCCCATGAGTACCTCCGTCAACGACTGTCGCTGGAAATTCAACGAGGCAACGCCGCTTCCGTGCTCGGGACAATGGAGGGGGCGGCAGCTTTAAATGAAATTTTGTTGTTTTGATTTATTGTTTTGAAACTGTGATGTTACCGTATTTGAATTAAAAAAAAAACTGATTAGGCCCGGCTAGTAAGCCATAATAATTAATTAATTTTATAACAATTACAATGTTTTGCATCATAGCGGCGCAGTGCATTGTACGACAGTACGAGTACAAGACTTGTGTCTTTTTGCAATACTTGCTGGGTCTGTAACTCTGTATCACGTTAAAGTACAGTAATACTATGGATTCGATCCCACCCTGTTTTGACGTATTATGACACTATAAATTATATAACTTTTCATTTAGACAGGAAATTTTGGGGCGCATAGCAAATTAACTATACGCCCTAAAATTTTCGGGCGCACAGAAGTGACCTTAAAAAATATGATTTCATTAAATAGCTAATTACATATTTAATGAAATATTATTTTGATCATTACGGTATTTTTTTTCAGGATGTAATGATACTTTTACTAGTACATATCTCATGATTAATAATATGCTGTCATCATTTAAACCTTTAATTTGCTTCATAAATTTGGAGAGGAGGCGGAGTTGGTGATTTTCCTGCAGGCCATGTCGCAGTTATATGCCGCGAGCTGGGCCAGTGCATCAGTTTCTGGTTTGTCGGAAGCTCCAGTTCCGGCTTGCAGTCGTCGTTGGTCCGAGTCGCTGGACGTCTCAGGTGACCGCTTGTGGGCTGATCCTTTCCGTGATAATTGGCAGGGGCTCCGGTCTCTGGCTTCCGTCCGAAGACCGTGGCAATTGGTTTGTCCGGTTACGTGAGTTGCCTAGCTGGACCGGCTTTTTTCGCGGTTGAGCTCCCGGTAGCGCAGCCGGAAGTGGGGACGCTTTCGGCCGACAGTGCAGGTTAATCTGCGTGTCACGTCTTCCTAAAGTCATTTATTTCCTCATTTTTGTACTTCACAAGTGCACAGCACATACTGGCAGCTTACTGTTGCTCACAATAATTAAATATGCGTTGCTGTGTCACCTCATCACACTGCGGCAACCGTTTCCGTGCGTGCGGGTCTGCCTATCGACTGGAGTGGGCGTGGCCACGCCGACGCGACAATGTGGGAGGACAGTGCGTGGGTGGGGCCAAACACAGAGCGTCGGCCGCGCCACCGGAAACCACGGCAAGAGCGCAGCGCAGAACGCACGACCTCTTCTCAACTCGTTCCACGTTATGTTCTGTAGACGCCACCCTTCTGATTACAATTTTACCATATGCAATATCCAATCCATGCTGCTGATGTATAATTGCGCCTTCAGTGAAATTATGAGTCTGTGTATATATAATATTATATGAGAGCGAAGGCTGTACAGCGGCCACCGGAGCCGTGCGCGATCGTCAACCAAAAGTTTTATGCATATATACAAATATCTGTACGTTTGCTTCCGGCTTCCTTTATTCACCGCTTCTTCCGCTGGCTACTGGGTAGAGTTTATTCGGTTGTTAAAACGACATAACGCGGGATTCGCACAAAATTGCATGACACCCATATAGACATATAGTTCGTTCGTACAGGCTTACCGAGAAAGGCACAGAAATACTACACTCCGTATATCGCGCAACAAATTACTAAATAATTACAACACATCTTTGCGAGTGGCACATAATATTATTGGAGAAAGGTGTGCGACATGGAGGGCGGCGGTAGGACATTGAAGAGTCCGTTGTGGGAGTGGCCGAGGTTGGATAGGTGGCGCTGCGCGTACAGCGCGTTGGCGGAGGGAATATCCAGCGGACTGCAGTGGCGGTAGAGCGCGGCGTTGAGGCTGTCCGCCGAGGATATGGAAGACGGAGTGGAGTTCGCGCTGTTGTGCGACTGCGCCGCCATGGGCGGCAGCGACAGGCCGGCGTGCAGTGCGGCGGCGTGGAAGCCGCCCGCGGGCAGCGGCCAGGGCGCTTGGCCGGGCCGAACGGCAGACCGCCCCCGGGCAGCAGCATGCGGTGCAGCGCCGGGTAGAACTCGGGTGAGTCGTACTGCAGCGAGTGCTGGCGCTTCCATTTCGTCCTGCATAGATACCAACAAACATTATTTACCCAAATCTAATCCTGATTTATTTTGTGTAATTTTTTTAAATTATTCATTCTCCTTCTAGTTTTTACTATTTTTTTGTATCCTTCTGTTTATTACAATCTTCATTAATGTTCTCTTTTATAATATGAGACGCAGAAACACTTTATAATGAGTTTCCGATTTTTCTGACACGATCAACAGCAGTTACCTCATTTACTGTAATTAGATCTAACCGGGTTTTACTTTTCCTCGGTAATAATTTCAGTCGCTTATGGTTACTTACCTTTTTATTTTATAATTTTAAAAGTTTTATGTAATACAGTTTTTATTTGTTTTTTTTATATTTTCTGCAATAATACGAGTAATTTATAAGTTTTTCCTTTTTTTCACCGGCATAAAATACATACCTTCGATTCTGGAACCAGCATTTGACTTGGGCGTCGGCGAGATTCAGTTTGGCGGCCAGCTCCATGCGCTCCTGTACACTGAGATACTTTTGCCGGTCGAAGCTCTTCTCCAGCGCCTGCAGCTGGAAATCGGAGAAGGCTGAAAACCCCAACAAACATGCGTTAACCGCCGTACGAAAAAAAAGGTCAAAACCGTCTTACCGGTGCGGGGTTTCCGCTGCTTCTTCCCCAGCGAATCCTGCTCCGACGCCGGCGACTCCTGATCACTGTCCTCCTCCCCGCCCCCGAGGGCTGACTATGTCCATACGCCGGGTGCTTGCCGCGAGCGGCGGGCGGGAGCGCTTGCGACAGCGGGGCGGGGACGGCGTGTGATTTACGTTCGTGCTTGACCGGCACGCTTACCTCTTCCGTCGTTGTCGTCATTTTCCCTGCAACGGCCAACAGTTAGGACATATAAACAGGAGCGTTTAAATAGCCGGGTAATTTCAGGTTGCGAGTTGACGAGATAATGGCCACTGCGACCGGACAACGAGATGGATAGATAGCTCGTGTAATTCACTGCAATTCATTGCATACGGGTTTCTTTGCGCATTGCGCGTTGCCGAGCAGCTGCACCTGCGGCTAGTTAGCCTCTCCATCGAACGGTAGTTATGCTCGGCTAGTTGATTTTAACGGCCTAATCAGACAACCATCGGGCATGTCGCAGCGCACATCCTGCCACAACAGCACCGGTCGGAGTTGCACATCATCGCATCATCCATGCCCCCATTATACGCCTTATTTTTCCAGCCATCTCGAATCTCGCTGCACCGGACAGATGCCGTTGCTCACAAGCCATCAGATAAAACCATCTTTAATCATCATTTTCGCTGCTCACATAACATCCTAATAATACCACTACGCTCGTCGTATTGCTGTTGTCGCCAAATCCGTATTAAGCACCCGTTTCTGTAGGTGTATTTCTAACCGGTTAAAGGTCAAACTTATGTTATACACGTTGCGCAGCGAACGTTTTTTCTACGAAGCGATTTTACATGAGAATGAAGACTTCTTTACGTATATCAGTAAATGTTCTGTTAATAGGTAAATCTACAAGCAGGAAATACAGAGTTGTACATCTTTACGCGGAACAGGAAAATATTACGAAACATTTCACAATTCATGGAAGAGTGTCGTCCTACAATTTATTGTAGTTAATAGGTAGTTGCTATATGTTAATACGGGATGGTGTTAATATGGTAAAAGCGGTGTTGGGATGGGAAGCGATTGAGTTAAGCGACAGTTAGCGGGCGAGTCAATCATGATCATCGCCGGCAATGGACTGTGTAATGCCGGCACTGCTAAATTAGCTAATTGCTGCCGTTAATGGACAGGTAGGCGCCCGTGAATTGCCGGCATTACATTTACCGGCATTTAATGGGCCGGTAATGCGTAATTAATTGACTTGAAAGGGGCTCTTTGGCTTAATCTCCCAGTCACGATCGACGATCAAGCAATTCAGCCTCGTCCGGACACGGCAACGGGACACGTCAGGACAGCGCCGGCCGGCCCATCTGCTTTCCGGTCAGCTCCTTCTGGCCGCTAGTCATTGGCGGCCAGCACGCTCTGCTAATTAATCAGGCCTTCTTCTACCTTCTTCTGTTACCGGCGTTTCTAACTGTACACATACCATGCAACAGTAGCGCGTCGTGCTAGCGAATAATTAGCCTTGGGAATGCTCTTTCATTCGGCCTAACCTCGCCTTAACCTGAAGCGCTCCGAAATTCAAACAGCAAAAATTAATGCAGATTTTTAAAAATTTACTTTGTTATCGTTTTAAGATACGAATAAATTAAATTTAACTTTCAGGTAAAAGTTAAACCTTTATACAGATAGTATTGCCGGAAAACTGAATCGAGTATAAAAAGCAGCGTAGAGTTGTCTGGTATTAATCGTTATTAAAAATGTGGATAGCGATTAAACGCAGCAAAGTTGTTGATTGTACGTTTGGATGGACAACAAACGGAAACCTGCTTGAAAAGTGCCAATTCTCCGGTAACAAGTGTCTCTCGCGCTCACTGATTCGCCTCTCCCGAGGCCGTTCGCATTGAATTTACCGAAACAGCCGCGTTGAGCGCGGCGCAAGCTGTAATTATCGCTCGGCCGGTCCGGCGCAAATCAAAGGAAAATAATTAAAGACGTCTGTTTGTCGCGCATTGTCTGCATGTAATCGCTCCCGTCCCCCTCGTCTCCCGCACGCCAAACGGCTCTAACTGTCCACTTTGGCCGCCCCGCTCACTTAATTGACCCGACACCGGACAGTAGCCGCAGCGTCCTCCCACGATCGCCGTCATCATAATGCCCACGCTGCCCCGAACTGTCTTTCACTCAATTTTAAACTGGGAAACGGTCAATTATCATATCGGCAATTATCTTATTTTTCTTTCCGGCTCATTTTCCTGACCTTCAGAATGCCATCCACTTTTCCATTCTAGCCGACGCACTCTATACTTATGCGATTTGTTTCATTTGAGCCATTAAAACACGGCCGCACGCTTAACTCGTATAATCGCAACCTTATATATGTGTACCAAAATCTCGGCATATTTTTCTTATAAAACCAAAGACGTTATAAGAGTGCTATATATTTGGATAATGGCGTTGCATGAAACCTTTTTAATATAATTAAATTGCGCCGTAACCATTCGCAAACTTATCACGAACCTTGTCCAACCAATTTTGTTTATAAGAACCAGTATAATTATATAATTATCGAAGCCAGCCGAGCGAATAACATTTTTTTATTATTGTAAAAATATTGAACTACAAAGTATCTGTATGTATATGAAAAAACGTAAGGGCTCGAATTTTTAGAGGATGCAAAGTCAAATTAAATTCACGAGTAAAAGCCTATCGATGCAGGTGGTTCTCCCGTAAACAGCGGCAACTATTTAACTGCGGTGTTTGGAAGTTGCACATGATGAACGACAAGCGCGGCATCGTTTATGCGGTACAGCCATCCCGTACTGATAATCAGCCATATAATGCCCAGTGCTTATTATTCTGCTGGCCCTTGGCCGGCATAATAAAAGCGGCAGGGCCACGGCCAGCGTAATGAGCGGTAAATAATGTCGGGAGCAGCGAGGGGTCCGTGCGCGGAATGCGGTGGCCCACTGCGCGCAACTCGACACCTCGGCCGCGCCGGCCGATGCGGCAACCAAAGTAAACAGCTTACCTCCCCGCTGCTGCTGCTGCTGCTGGCCAGCGTCATTAGCCGGGGCGCTGAGTTGCCGGCCCGGTGTCGTCGGGGCGCTGGGGAATGCCTGCCGACTCAGGTATTCGTGGGCGGCATGTGTCTGCGGTTCCGACGAACGGGATAATGGCCGCTCCGGGTTGTGCGTCCTGTTATCCAGGATATCGCGGATCATGAAGCCGTGCTGCTGTACCGGCGACGTGCGAGCCGCATCGTCTGCGTGCACTGAGCGTCATTCTACGCAATTAATAGCTGGACTTCAATGCAGCACGAGTTATGTATTATTTAAGTCGGTTGTTAATTAAATAAATACATAAACAACGCAGTAAGCGTCGAGCAATTAATTAGGACGTTTAATATCTAGCACCAGCAGTCAAACGGCTTCGTCGCTCGATACAACTGGTGGCCGAAGAAAACAGTCGCTGTGGCTGCCAAGAAGGTAAACGAATTATGACATTAAATTTGTTTCTCTTTGAACGCTTTTGCAGTTTACTAAACGCCCTGCACAGGCTTCTGTGCGCGTCATGCGACGACAGTACCGTACTGTTCCTACAAGCGGCTCGCGGTCGGTTCATTCGGATTAGCTGAATAACGGCTCGGTCAGCATCGTTTATATGTCTGCAGTTCGAACTGCGGACGGTCGCGCGAGTCGCAGGAGAACCGGCTGCCTCAGGCGAAGTATAAGTGTGTTATTTAGTGTTTAGGGTTGGCCGTAAACGTGGACAGTTAGCCGGAGATAAATGGCGTTTTGGGTCTGAATGGCTATTGGTGGTTGCCAGCAAAGTGGTTTAACCGCTTTAGGGTTGGAGCGTTTTGCCTTATTACGCTTCTGTGCTGCGATATATCCGCTGCGTTCAACTTCAGCGGTGTATCGGCTTTATCGGCCATCGCGCTTCCACTCACAAGCGCCAATCAAGCTCATCGTCCTTTGTGCTCACTCGTACGCGTACGTACACGTACGCGGTGCAGGTACGTCTCGTTAACCGGTGCAACCACTGCACTCCAATCAGGCTGATTGCCTTCAACCGGCACTTTATATAATAATGCCCGCTCAAGAGTGCGCATCACACCGCTTATTAATACTTCCGACCAACATAGCAATCACGGCCATTCAGCGTCGTTATGTACGAATAAACGCCGGCGTGGCCTGCCAGTTTAATAATATATAGGCAAAAATAATAGCGTTTCCACTGCGCTGTAAAATAACAACCGGCGATGGCGACCCTGTCGATTGTGTTTACGTGCCATAGATTTGCGCTGTGCGGACCCCGCAGCCACGTTCACCATTCAAGCGACAAAACCTCTTTGACATGGTGAAAATATCCAAAACGTACCCATTACGCATCATTATTGCCGGCGTATCGGGGCTCGTTAAGAGCTAATTGCAGCGTTTTGTTACCGTTAGGCAATTGTTGTCGCGGTGTGCGCTACTTGGCTCTTTGGCTCGCTGTGACCTTATGTAAGGCATGCTGCGCTTACGGCCATACAGACTGCTTAGCGGAGCCATCGACGATAAATTGCTTGCACCAAAAACAGCTTCGCGGCAAATAATGCCTGATCGCTTCCAACGGCGCACTAATTGCCGATTGGCTAGCATATTAGGTGATGTGTGAAAATTCGCCGGTTATGATTATTTACGATTATGTGTATCGCTGTAAGTCAATTCATTTTCTTTAATCAGCTTTATTACGCCGTTTTAGGCAATTACTTTTACACCGAATTGGTATAAATACAGAAACGTACCCGTATAGTATTAAACAGCAAGCTGCGTTTATTGTTAACATCTTGAGCCAACAAAGATGAGCAGGAACATGTTTTCCGCGCAACAATGCCATCCGCTTGAAAAGAACGAAACATTACCATATGTATGGGCAAAAGGGTCGTCTTCATTCCAGCGTGTAAAGTATGTACATATGTACGCGCACAATATCGCACCGCGGAGACGCGAAGAGGCGGCCATTATCATTCTAATGTCATTGTTGAATTATGATGACCGGCATTTATCAACAGTGTACAGCCACTGCGCCCCAGTGTGGTCGTTGGCTTTTTAATTAACCGGCTTGCTTAGCCGCATAATCGCCCGATTCTTCGCCGGTAAACAACGATCAGGGACCGCGGCATCTCTCGACAAAGGGTAGGTACAGTACATATCTGTGTCCATTGTTGCTTAATCAATTGTAGGGACACGGCCGCGATCGTTATGCTAATCCGACAAAGAGATGGTGCGCTATGCGGCCTAATCCGTATCTGCTAATTGTTAGGGTGTGGACACTGTCCTGGCGGTGCAATTTCACCGGACACTGTCGACACCGCTTTGAATCGATAACAACTAACAAGTAACAACCGCGTACCCCATCCGTTGCCGGCTGTCCATGTATTTAATTTCCAATCGGCAATTTAAGGCAGCATTTTATTTTTAGCCGGTATTTTGCAATTTACCGCGTGTACATGTCTTTACATTTTTTTAGATTCGTTTCCTTAATTTAGCAATGTTAATAATAAATTCAGAAATGGTCCAGCCGTCAAAATATGTTTATTAAAAGGAATTACGCAAAGATATTGCTTTGATTTATCCAGTTTATTCAACTGTATAGTTGACAAGGTCGATGGATCAAATTGACTGCATCCATATAAAAAATCGATCCCAATTCGAGCGTGAGAGTCAGTGGCCCAAACGAGTCGCGCATTATTTGGAAAATTTTCAGTTTATTCGTGAATTTAATTTAAAGCTTCATCATTTTTTAACGCAGAAGTATTGCGCAAGCTTTTTCAAAAGTTATTTTAATTTTTTCTGGGCGTTGCAAAGAATTCAATTACAGCTCACGCCAAAAAATACAGGAATTTTATAATTTGTCAACAACAAGAAATAAATTTTACAAGAAAGTAATTTTACAATATTTCGTTTAAAAACAATCAGAAAAATGCACGTTTCAGTATTGATTAATAAATTGGATTGCATGCGAACTTTGGGCACTTGTTGTGATGCTGCAGTTCTCTTGTTGAAGGAGATTGGAAAGTTCTCTTGTTGAAGGAGATTGGAAAGAAACTGTTGATTAGAGTCGTCCCACTTGGTTTTTTGCTTCAACGTTTAAGTTTGGAGATTATGCGTGGTATTGCTATGAGTGTATGGTGTAATGTCCCTTCTCATGTTCTTCATTTGATTGTGCTTACTGACTACTGAGTGGTGCGCGCTGATGTAAATATTAAAAATAAAATGAAAATTGGATTGATAATAACGAAGCCAGTTTCCACCATGAACAATTTTTTAATACACGTAAGCATAAGCAAGAATAACTAGTATACAAGAGTGGTATTCGCTGTAGGTAATGTACTACTTAAAACTGTGTGTGTCTCAAGACATTTGCCACCTCCGTCGATTAGAGAATCTCCCAGATGCGTGTACAAGTATACCGGTAATCACGGCGGATGGACGCCCCTGGCAGCGATACTTGTATCGGTATTAATGTTGCTGAAGAAGTGTATAATCTGCTTAATAGATTAATGCAATAAACCTGATATTGTATCCATTCAGGCAATCTGCGCGCAAAATGGGATTATCAGGATGATCAAAGAATGCCAGAGCCACGGCAATCCCAGCGAGCACGCAGCGGGTGGCCCTGCACCGGCCCCGTCGCATCCACTTATCGCATACAGATATACATACCAATATTATGGCCATTTCATTAAGTAATAATAATATACTATTATTAACTATCAATTCACCAAGCACGCAGATCAATATGTGGATTTGTTCAACCGTGTTTGCAGCTACTTGAGAGTAAAGCATACTGATTTTAGTCAGCAGTCGTCTTCGTCCTATAACGCTGGAGAAATATCTGTACGATTAATTGTTGTAAAAGTGTCCAGTGTTCATTTTTGCGACTCATCTGAAATAATAATCTTCTCGTCCAGCAAATAATTATTCGATTGGTTTAAACGGATACCAATAAATATATGAAGAAACAATAATACTTACGAGGGAGATACCCGAAAACGTCCGCGTCAGATCAGCATACACTTGGTACCATCAGAATCCTTAGAATTTCAGCTATTTTCTTCGAGAATCAAAACACCCCCAGATAAAGAACTCGAGTTTAGTGATCTCTGAGAAGCCAGCATAGATATGATGGCTGACTTCCATCGAAACGTCAGCAGGCGCCATACGCATTGTCCAGCCTGGATGCGCCATGCGTTACGCATAGTCTGGCTGCAATCTGTTAATTCTGTACTTCGAATGCTGCCTTATCTGGGCTCCCCTTATATTACTCTCCCTTATCTGGGCTCCCTGCTTGTTTGCAATGCCCGTCAAATTAAATTTATCGGATTTATAGCAGAACCCCTTTATACTTCTTTCAACCGGATTTACAAGTGAGCACACCTAAGAATTCCGAAATTTCACATCCGAATTGTATTCATATATATTATCTATATAATATTATTTTTCATTAATTTCAACCGGATTTGCCAATGAACAAACTGAAAAATGCTAAAATTTGCGCTTTGGTCGCAGCATTTAACGACGATACACCATCTTGCACGCACTTTACAGCAGACAGAATCGCATCTTCACGGTCCATTTGACAAAGTCACAAACATAAATTTTAGAAAGATTTTGAATCTGTCGTCGATGCAACCTAAGAACTTTGAAACAAACTAAATGCTAAAAAAGTACCTAATACTGGTAGAATAAGTATTTAAAGTACAGTAAATCAAAATTTTCTGTCAGGCATAACACTGATAACAGCTGCGAAAGTGTGGGTAATAACGTAACCGCCCATGTAGAGGGTTGCTCATATTGCTCGGGAGCCCAGATAAGGGAGAGTACTATAAGGGGAGCCCATATAAGGCAGCATTCGAAGTATTGGTTTTGTTGACGGCTGTCTCACCTATTTTGCCCTATCGCGCGCACAGCATCCGCGGTTGCATTGATCTCTATGCAGCTATAGTCGATGCTGCTGCGCTTAATGAGTTAAAAAACTGCGATAGCTATCGATAAAGCGCTATTTAACTTCTCGCTGAAAGACGGTTGCGCAATCTCGCATCCGTACAGACGCGCCGTATAGCTCTGTATGGCGTCTGCTGACGTTTCGATGGAAATCAGCCATCTTATCTGTGTTGGCTTCTCAGGGATCCCTAAACTCGAGTTCTTTATCTGGGGGTATTTTGATTATCAAAGAAAATAGCTGAAATTCTAAGGATTCTAATGGTACCAAGTGTATGCTGATCTGACGCGGACGTGTTCGGGTATCTCCCTCGTTAGATAAATAGTAACGATTATATATATGTACTAATATAAGTAAAAGGAACAATTATATCTGTATAAAAAAATACTAACGTGCGCATATGGTTGTACATAGATAAAGCATATTGGGAAACAAGTTGTAATACAAAAGGTCTGCTGGATATACTGTACATACGTATATTATATCTATATACAAAATAATTATGTACAATAAATATTTTGAAAGAATGTACTAATAGAATTTCAATAAAAAACATAAATATATCTGTGTATATATATTTGGGATTAATTTTGTAAATTAAATTTCGCACAATATAGTGAGCAACAAAAGTATGGTCAGTTCTTAACATGGAGTAGCGGCGGAAGTAGCGAGAGTTTCCAAAGGTACCTACGGTGTACAAGTGTGAGCGTAGTATACACGTACTTCCGTTGCTTTTCTCACCAAACCCGGTGCCCCACATTTGTTACTCATACATGCATACACTTAATAATAGCGGTTATCGGCAGTAATAACGTATTTATCGTGGTGTCGCTGGTTTGCTTTACGAGTTCTTCCCGGGCGCAGCGACACACCGGCTAATCTTCATTTGCCGCTTATCTCCAGCGCAATGTTTGTTAACATTCACCGGTCCGTTCCTCCACGTAAAACGGTCTGTGTATTTAACAAGGTTCGCGTGAAATGGCCGCCCGCTTTACAGCTGGCACCGAGGCATTCCTCCGCAGATACACCGACTCACCGTGTTGAGTAATCGGCTGCTCGGGGAGCTGCCGATAAGCGCTACATGTTTTGTAACCACTGCAAATACACGCCGCAACAATCCGCAACATGGCCAAGCAGATTCGTCGCGCCCGGTAAATTATCTTGGTTGCAGTTTTCGTAGACTATTCTGACTAACAATAATATTACTGTGATTACGGTGTCACTTTTATTCCATAAAATCACGCCACTTCCGGTCAACGCTCATGTTGTTCGAATGGTGTAGTTATCAACATAATTTACGCACCGGCCGGAATTATTCAGTGACGTTCACAATTCGCTACAATTTTTGCTAATTTTGACCGGAAATAGATGGAGATCGGTTCCGAAGGGAATTTGGGAAGCATGCAATTGTACAAAGCACACATGATGTACTCCTGATCGTTCTTGTCTTCGGTTGGCATTTGTACAGCTTGATGTATACATAGCAAAATTTGACGGAATCAGAAGAACGCCATGGACTATCGCGCGAGCTGTCGAGCGCTGATGCGGCTGGGAGTCTTATTTATTATTTGTGGAGGGTTAACTGTGCTCTTCCAGATAACCGGTACGTGCAAATATTCTCCTGATCGACTTCCGGTCAATGCTCGCCGTAGCATTTAATAGAAAATTCACAAGTATTATTATTTACTATTTAAGACTGCGCCCTTAATACATTAAAACTTCTTCTGCAGCAGTATTGCTGGTGCAAGACCAGTACATGTACGTGACAGTCCTCCGCAGCTACCACGTGATCGTCGCCGGCTCCGGCATCTGGGCGGGCGCGTGCACCTTGATAACGGGCATCCTGGGCGTGGTCAGCCATGGCCAGCTGCGGCGCCGCGCCCGCCTCCGGGGCACGGCCGACCCCTCCGTCCCCTGCAGCCTGGCGACCTTTTCCGGCCTGACGGTGCTCTCTGCCGTCCTTATCCTCGGGATGCTCTCGGTGTGCTCGTACACGCTGTGGCTGCTGGTCACCGTTCTCCATCAGCGCCTGGCTTCTACAAACCCACCTACCGGCTGTACGTCGTCCTCCTCATTGCGCTGTACGCGCTGATGCTGTTGACGGGGCTGATCAGCCTGGTAGCGCATATCGTCGGCAGTGTGGTGGCCTGCCGGTTGGTGACCCGTGGCGCCTCCGCGGCGGACCGAGGCGGCGTCGGCTGGACGCGGAGCATGCAGCAGCGCAGTGCGCCGCTCCTCGTCTACCAGAACGACTACACCCCGCCCACCTCCGGGATCCGGCCGCATAATCAACACGCTGCAACGGCGAGGTCGTCCCTGGGCCGGTGACTTTGCGGTCGGAGCTGCGGATGGCGCCCGTTTCGGCATGTTGCAGGCAGGAATTACGCCAAACGGACACCCGGAAGTGCACCAATACGTAGAATTCCACACCGGCTGCCAGATTCTCTTCTGCTGCTAGGGGCGTCGTCGGTCGACCATTATTATTTTGTAACTGTTGGCTGAATTAGTTTTTGGAATTGTTGTACATGTACATTGTATAATTAACCTTAACGTCTAATGTACGGAGAACGGTGCCGTAAAATAATATTATTATGTCGTCGAACTTTGCACTGAACATGCTTCGCCACGTTATGACAAATTAATATGTGTTGAGATGGCTCATAACAGCTACTGTTGTTGTACGTGGTACATGTGTTGGCATGTTATCGGTTGATAAAAGTAATGAAAAGCCGAATAATGACATGACCTTGAGTGCGTTTAATCAGTACTTAATAAACTGCCAGTGAAAACCTTCTACTTTAATGAACTATAACAAGTACAGTCTGTACTTGTACATATACTGTGGACACAATTGAAAGTTCTAAATATATCTATACGTGTACGTAGTTGTACTGGGTACGCGTATAGAGACTACAGCATTGTATATTAATTATTACACCAGTGACTATTCATATTCAACTGATTGTGAACCTTTACAGTATTAGTACATACTACATACAGCGCAGTGCTCGGTTAGTAGCGGGACCATTCAAAGGTCGTCATTGTGGCCTGTACATTCCCCGATAGGGAGCCAGCGCGACAAGATACGTTTGTCGAAGCCTTCTTTCCGTATTGTCAGCAAAAGAAAGCCTTGGCAAATGTATCGGACTGCCGTTCTGACCGGATAACGCACAAAACACTGTCCCAGTATGCGTGTACTAGATGGCACAGTGTGCCGGTGATTTACACTGGCACACTGTCACCCAAATAATACCCGCTGCTCAGTTTGGACGATTTATTTGCCAACAACCGATAAGATCGCCTGTGCCTGTAGTGATTGTTGGCAGAGTAAATGCTGAATGCAAAATAGTCCGGTGTTGGGCAATATCGGTCAGTGTCACTGTGTAACAGCATTCCAGATCTGCAGCTGGTAACTGTCCACTGGACGGGATCGAATGCTGGGACGTATTTGTTCTTCAACCGTTTTATCTGCACATTAAGACAGCAGCGGCGAGAATGTGCAGCGACAAGGCCAAGACGGTGTTCTGCCTGGGCATCTGCGGGCTGGTCCACGGCTGCCTGACCATCGCCATCAGCTCGTACGGTAAGCACAAAGGTCACAGTAATACACTTTCTCCATTGGGCAGCGAATTGCGCACTGTAAACAGTATCAAGCGAAGTATTAAGCGAAGAGCTTAAAACCAGTATTAAGCGAAGGACGTCTTAATAGTGTTTAGTTATTCGTGGAAGCAGAGCCGCAGTCTGGAGTTCGCCGTGACGGTGCTGGCGCTCTGCAGCGGGATATCCCTCATCAGCGCCAACATAACGAATTTATGCCACGGCTACCGCATCCGCCAGATCGCGCTCTTTAACAACCACTCGGAGCGAAAGCCCTTCCGCCGGCTGCCGCTGACCCTCATCCTCATCAACACCATCGCCGCCGCGCTCAACCTCGCGCTGGGCGTCCTGGCTTTCTTCCTGGCCAACACCTTCTACGTGCCGCAGCAGTTCTCCACCATCGTACGTACCTCCTGATTTGTACGGTGTTGAACGAGTTTTCTGACTTGTACGTTTCGCAAACGGCTATGTATATAAAGAGTGACCGTTGCAGATCGATCCCGACGGCATGATCCACGTGTCGCGCGACGAGTACGTCTTCAACGGCTCCATCGGCATGGTGGTGGTGGCGGTGATCGGCGTGGTGTTCAGCGGCAGTGTCGCCGGTCTGGCGGTGTCCATCCACCGTCATCCGCAGCAGACCATCGCCGCCATTGCCGGCATCCAGTACCAGCCCGGCGTGGGCGCTGCGTAAGTGTGCACGTTGCGCTGCACCACTTTGCTCGCGTCAAATACTCGACGGTTCTCTTTAACCCGGCCGGACCTTTCCCTGTTATGCCGTTTGCCCCGGAAACTTATTGCGATCTGCGTTATTAGATTGAAACGTCCCGCACAACATCTGCGCTAAAATTTCATTTCTTTCCTTTATCTTTGCTGAAAATTTATTGGCTCTGTGTTTTTATTGCATTCGCCCATGAATTTAATTAATGCACCATCAGGATAGCCGCATACAGCGCAGTATTTTAAAAGCTAGCCGCTGAAAGCAAGACTGTCTTTCGCTGTGCATAAATTCCCAGATCTCGAGAAGGATACTTGGTTGAATTATTTTATTAGTAACAACAGATTTTCACTATCCGAGAGGTGTTTTGCAGATATTCCCGGCCAGCTGTCCATCTTTGTACAATACGATTGCGGAAATTCGACTCTATGGGCAGTTGACCTTTCGGTGCGATAAACCGTGCAGCCGGCACTGCGGGTCGTTCGTTAAATTGCAAAAATAAACTGCTTGATGCGTAATAGCCTTGCCGATTCCGTCGACAACTGTTTAAGCGGAGCCGGCAGGAAGCGGAGCGAGTGGATTTACAGGGAAAAGGTTAAAATGACTGGGATGTACGGTTGATTAGCTGGGAGTGGGCCATATGCGGAATTAGTCGCGCTGCATGGACTCATGCATTCATGGCCGGTAATGCACTCGTACAGACACAAGATCAAGCCGGCAACAGGACGCAACGGCGGGATAATTTGCCCGTGTGTACTGTGTGCGGATAATACACGCGCCCATTAAATGTTCATGCGCCGTCCCGACAAATCTCATCAGGACATACACTGACGCGGTTTAGTAGCCGGTTACGTGCCGCGTCCAGCGCGGCCCTGATGAATTTGTCAAATTGAATCGGCGTCTCTTATCGGGAGATTAACACATCTGTCTTGCCTGTCAGATGCCATTAGTGCTCGGGCGCGGCGCGATGTGTTTTCAAACATGTCCCCGACCGCGGAAGCCATTACGTTGTAATAATCATTTACATAAGTGTTGTTCGCTGATTAATTACACTCCAGTGGCGCTGCAGCAGCTAAGTAGTGCTTTGTACGCACTAATATCCGCTTTTCAGTTTCCATTAGCTGCTTGCCTGGCCATTATACCGTCAGTGTACGCCAAACGCTCCCGTTCGGGCTGCGTTAGCGTTTCCGCCGTCGGAACCGATCGGCGCTGGATAATCGCATTATGGCACTGACATGCGCCCGGCTAATTCAGGCCAGCATCGCTACACTGACTATTCGCTATTGATTGATTCGATAAACACAGTAATATCGGCAATGCCAGCGTTACGCCCACTACAGCATTCTAATACTTTAATAATTGGGCCCGGACTCACAAGCATAATGGCTTTAACCATGTTTACATATGTTCGTATGCACTCATCGCAACAGAATAATGATTGAATATCACCAAAAATAATTGCGAGCAGTTACAGTAACAATTATTGAACTCCGAGCATGATACTGTTATACATTTTGACTGCGCCATATTATAAAATTGTCAAGCTTATCATCTAAAGAACGTATTATTATAATTACTCAACTCTTGTTTTCTAGTAAGTTAACAGATTTTGTGATTTCCACCGTCGCAACTTGCCGACAGGATTTAAAAGCATCAGCGGATGCCAATAAATAAGCTAAAACAATTTTAGAAATATATATTTGCCGAGACTTTTATATTTTTAAGATTATGAGGTATCGGTTGCCAAATTAAATTAAATATGACTAGAAAAATTACATGCGTGGTTTTATGCAGTGCATAAATTGGTTTTTTTATAAGCCGTTTGCATCATCAAAATCGATGTTATTGAAATTTTTTGTTGTAAATGTTGTGCTTTCAAAATTTTATACTATAGAATTATTGGCTTGGTTCCGCATCCAAATTAAGTTGTATATAAGGAAAAAGAGACGGTACGGTGCAGCCTCTGATTACCAAGGATACTCGAACCACCGCGGTGGCATGGATAAAACCGCGCATTCATGTTTTGTTGAACATTAAGTTTTTGTGTGCGAGTAAACAATGTCTGCATGTTTGCGAGTTGTGCCAGCAATTACAGCGCATTAATCGTGCCCGCCTACTGTCCTTTATCTACCTTTTTCCAACTATAATTACCCCTGTTCTCAAGATGTAAACGACGACACGCTCGGCGAAATTGGCGTTTTATTATGCGGCCAATGCCAACGTGTTTCCCTCGTCAATAGTTATTTTGCTGTCGTAACTGTCGGCAATTTGCCGGGCGCAGTGTAATCTGCAATGGTTGCGCATGAAGTACGGCATGAGAACACGCCGAAGACAGCAGCCCCGTTCGTGTGTGCTTGTTGTGCGCGAAGCCATGATTGGGTCGCTTACAAAGAAGCTGCATATTAACAGACACAAAACACGGCGCTGATCACGCCAATTTTCCCAGCACAAAGCGGCCCAGCCAGCAGACCCGGTATTAAGTGTAATTTGGTTTTATGAGAAAAATTACAAGCATTTCCAATCGGTTATTTTGATGAAAGCCGGTGTATAGTCGGCGTTTAATTTGATGTGATGAGGCCATCAATGCCCGATAATGGGGCAGCGCTGCACTGTGCCGATTACCGCATCATGGCATGGCGCTGGCGCCGCCCCCTTTCAGCCCGTTCCGCTGCAGCAGCAGCAGCAGCAGCGGCCCATGATGCCCATCCATCAATTATGCATGCTCGGTGCGCGCTAATGGATTGAGGCATATTAGCGCGCACGCCAACACCGCCAACTAAGAGCCCCACAACACACATCTTGGCGCTGGGGATGGCCGCTATGCTGCTTCTGGGGAGAAGAAAGGCAAAGCGATGTAAAAGAGGATGATGGGAAAGATTGAACCACTTAATGGCCGGTTTGATTGGCCAATTTCCAGTGCGGCGCGGCCGCCGTGCAGCGCTGTGTGCCATGTGTGCTGTGTGGGCGTCAGCTAAACGGAGATGTTGCGGCTGTTAATCCGGCCACTGTGCTCGCCATTGGCGTGTGACACTCACTCACACAGCGCTCGTACAACGATTTAAAGCCGATTCGTACAAGCGTGACACTTGCTCGTTCACTCACTCTCACAGCAGTCGTACATCGATTTAAAGCCGATTCGTACGTGCACACTGCAGCAGTATTAAACTACGCTGAACGAATAATAAACGCCGTGCGTCATGTCACGCATTAGTTGCCATCGACGGCCAGCAAACCGGCTCGTTTGTAAACGGCCCACTCGTCCCGCTTCCCGTCTAAACCGTCCACTTGCACCGCACTCAGCCGGCGTAATATCTTCCCAATGCAGGCAAATGATGGCCCCACACAAAGGCATCACAACGACCGCCCTGAAGTAAAGAGCACTACGATTGTAACGACTGCACGATGTTTTTCAAGCCAAGTACTTACACTGTCATGTCAATAGCCAGCGCAGTATGTGATTAACCACGGAAGCCATTTCTTAACAAATCGCCGTCATTTCCCGGCATTCAGGCCGTACGTACAGTTGGGTAATGAGCGCCGCTTTCCGCTGCATAAACTGAATCAACCGGGCACGACATGGGCCGCTGCGTCGTGCAGTGCCGGCCCATCATCGGCGCATTGTCGGCCATGTTATTCATTTGGCTTTTTATGGCCGTTCACGGCACGATAGAACGATAGAACGATAGAGGGGCCATTATTTACTGGAGAATCGGCTTTTGTCGGGGCGCGTTTTTATCTCCGCTAGCCGCGACGCATTACCGCGCTGAATACACTCGACAGTCACTGAGTCGGCATTCAGGCAGTGTTGCACGCTTATTTGCCCATTCTTCGCCGCAAACGCTCGCTTGCATCATGACCGACCGCGACGGCGCACCGGCAGCCAATTCGTGTCCAGCGCCGCTTGCCTACCTGACTAATTCGTCGGTGACCGAGAAATTAGCGGAATCACTGAAGAAGACGACAGCGCCCAGTCAAGTGAGCCCACCGCCCGTGGCGGCGATGGCCAAGAATTCCTTTCTCATCAAGGACATCCTCCGCAGCAAACCGCTGTCCGACGCCAAGCACCAGCGGCGTTTTGGCCCGCGGTGTGCATTGGGAGCGCTGCCGGGTGATGGCGGCGCCACCGTCACTGCCGACGCCAGTGACCTCGCCGCTAAGGAGGAACGGGCGGCCAGCGAGGCGTCCGGTCTCGACACCGGCGTCGCCGTCGACTCGGAGATGGATTTCGATCAGGACAGGGCCAGCAGCGACAGCGACGCCCACAGCGAAATCTCCGACGCAGGTTAGAGCCTGATATCGCTAATTAAATGGTGTTTTTTTTTCAACTGACATTCTAAGGATTTTAACAAAAACAACAACATCATAATATTATTAGCAAGTTCGTTTCACTTCTTTTCATAGCGCTGATGCCAGCCCACACCGTTTACATGCTGGCACAGCGGCCGCGTTAACACGTCATATTGTATAAGCCATATTAATTATTAAACTACTAATTTAATACTTTGCAATATGACTACGGCATTGCAAAGGTCGCTAATGGAGATGTAATTACTAACGGCCGTAAATAAGAAAGCCGGCGGCAGAAAACAGTCGCTGCATTAACCACGAAGCCTCGTAAGCAGTACAAATTATTAATACTTCTATGCATTTCCTTCAGACTATTGCTCATTTACTGCAAGTATTCGTTAGCAAAGCCAAGCATAGCATAACACTGCAAATTTATGCAAAGCTGTAAGAATTCGCTGCCTGTAGGTAATCAAATACATTTTACGAGCGACAACGTCGCCCGTACCACCATGCGTGCAGCAACGAATCCCGGTATTCATTCCCGTTTTCAGCAGCGGTCAGACGATTGCACAAGCCCACGGAGCATGCGGGCTAATGGCTTGTGTAACATACTCCAAAGCGATCGTCAGTTATATTAAACGATAATAACTGGCACTTTTTTATTCGAACAAATTTAGCCGTCTCTGATTATGCAGTTTACCGTTTCTCAAGTTCACCTTTTAAACACTTCGCTTTTGCGTTGCCGGTAACGTTCCCTTACCCAATATGAAACGCCTATCAGATCTTAAAGGAAAAAATAATTAATTTCGTTATAAACGGAATACCAGTAAGTACAGTTAGTAAACAACCGTATCTATCGCATGGCGTTTTATTTTTTAAACCGTCTGCCAAACAACAAGCAGCGAATACTGTTGCTGCATAGTGCGCACAGTTACAGCATGATTATTATATTTGTGGCATTAATAATGTACTCGTACTGTGTGTACCTGTTTCGAATTACGCTTGATTTACGACTTTCATGCCTTTCCTTCATCCGTACAGCCATCTTCTTGTAATAATTGACAATAATTGTACGTATTGGATTTGGTCAGTGATTTTATCTGTCCTTAATTTCCTTATGTTCATGTGACCTTCCGAACTATAATCAAGATAAATACACCAATCGTATGTAGATACGCAAATGTGCTGTTGAATAACCGAAACAGTTATAAACAAAGTTTGTTTGCGAATGTACTACCGGAACAAATAAAACGTACTTAATTAACTACAGTAGTAGACGTAATTATTATTTTATCGTACATTCGTACTCGCCGCAGTCTGTAGGCTCAAGTTTACAAAGAAGGAAATTTACAATTTACAAGAAAGAAAATTTACAAGAAAGAAAATGGCACTCCCCTTCGAAAGAAATCAGTGTATCGCTTGTAATTACAGAATTTAACGATTGTAAGCGCACGTAAAGTTTTTTTATTAGTGTTATGAATATTGAGAGTGTACATAATTATGCTGTGGTTACGATGATTATATGATCATATAATTCTACGTATCTGTACAGATAATGTAGGTATCAATATCAGTACATGCTGGTGAATCGTGATTAAATTAATATGTCCAGTGCCTGCTGTGTGCATTCAGTGTACAGGAAATCTGGCGTTGTCGGAAGCGTGGATAATGGTGTCATTTGGCGTTTGCCCGTTTTGCAGGTGACAGTCCACAAGGTGAGCAGGATGACAGCGCGTCCGGCGCGGCCAGTCAGGGCTGCAGTCCGAAAGGGAAGAAGTCGCGCAAAGCGCGCACAGGTCAGTGAATAATTAGTCGGCACAATTAATTACAGCCGAATGCTGTAAGTCTCCATACACGTATTTACAATTCATTGCCAAGTATAAAATTATGTTGCTCCGGCAGCCTTCACGGACAACCAACTGCAGACGCTGGAGAAGCGCTTCGAACGGCAAAAGTATCTCAGCGTGCAGGACCGCATGGAGCTGGCCGCCAGCCTCAGCTTGTCCGATGCCCAGGTCAAATGCTGGTTCCAAAATCGCAGGTATTTGCTTTATCATAAACAGTCAGATATACATTAATACAATCTGAGTATCCCTTACTTGTTAATACCGTACAACTGTCAGCACTGTGATTTCCTCTGCGTGCAGATTGCCTGAATATTTCGGGGAGAATTTGCGGGAAGACGGTGTAAAGGTTTGTGGCTGGCAAATTGCTGACCACGGGACCGCAAACACGTGCGCTGTAATGATACGCTGGTAGTGATTGATGGCAGGCAAACAAACGGACGAGCTTTACCGGGCTGCGCATGCGCATGCGACCGGCGCTGTGACACTGATCACGCGGATCGGCAAAACGCAATCGAATAACATAGACCATACGCATTCACGCCCACGCTGTAGCTTAGTGCGGCCACTGCAGTTTATTCGGGGAACAAACATTTCCGGTCAACAGGCAAATAGCCGTCGGTGATATGCTCCAGCCTTCACGGTCCGACAGCGTTCTTTGACAATGTTTAATAATTAACTAAAAAAAGTGTAGAATCGGTGAAGTGTACTGTACAGATACGAGGTATATCCACGTTTCCTACTGGGTAGGCCTTTTTTGCATACTGTACGGTGCATGGTGTACGTGTGGCCGTGTGCTCGTAGAAAACCATAATAATATTATATCAAATATTATATTATTTTTACGTCAACGATTATCGCTTGAGATTCAGCGCGGAAATGCAGCATCTGTTTTGGGTACCATGGATGGTTTGGATAGTTTAAATGAAGTTTTGCTGCTGTGAATAGTACTGCATGTTTCTTTTCTTTACCAGAATTGTGCGTTGATTATTAATAAAAAGGTATAATATCAAATTAATAGTAAGAAGATGCAATTTCTTTCGCAGCTATAAAAGAATGTGGACATTACGTATGATTATATAAATTAACCGTGCATATTCGCTATAGAATACCCATGTACAAGTACAGTACATTCTTTTATATGGTACGTAGTTACAGAATTTTATAATATGAAGTATGCAGTATTATATATTATGCATTATTTTATATTATGCATCCTCTCCTATAACATTTCAGTATACACATAACACATACTACAATAATAGTATTATTACCTAAAGCATTAATTTGTGTATGCGGTGTAGCGAATGCATATCGGTACATTGCTACAACGTACCAGTGCAATTATCACTTAATACATAACAGCGTACAATACATTGTATAGCGCAACGTAAGTACAATACGTTGTACACAGCTGTAAGCTGGTAAGCACAGAAATGCAGCCATTATTATAATAGTATGCGGAACTGTTTGATAACGTAACATGGATAAACTTAATGCCGATTAATCGTAGGACAAAGTGGAAGCGCACCCAGTCGGTGCACTTCGAGCTGATGGTGGAGGCGGCCGGCAGCTACTCGGCCATGCAGCGCATGCTGCAGTGGAACCTCGGCAACCTCTCCAACATCCTCCCGGCGGCGGCGGCCGGCGGACTGCCGCTGCCCATCGGCCTGTGCAACCCCGCCGCTCCGGGGACCGCCCACCCGGCGCAGGCGCATATGCAGGAGATCTACTATCGCACCCTCCTGCAGCAACAACAGCAGCAACTGGCCGCGGCGGCGGCGGCCCACCAGACACCCTCTTCCGGCAACGTCAACGCCGTCACCGTGTTCCCGGCGCAGCTGGCCATGGCGCACAACCTGGCGGCGTTGGCGCGGCCCCTGCGTCTGGAAAATCCCGGTGGCGGGCATCCGGCCGGAGCCGGCAAACCGCTGCCGATGGCGCCGGCCTTCTTCACCGCCACTAGTCTGGCCGCGGCGGCCATGGACGCCCGGACCAACAGCCGGGCGGCGGCTGCGGCGTTGGATGACAAGGATTAAGCGGAAGTGTTGCGTCAAGAAGATCGCTTGATTTTCTCATTCTGTTATTATCGTACAGTGGCTTTCGTATAATGTCGTCAATGGTGAATCGGTGATTGTTACCGGTGCAAATGTATTAGTGTGTTCAACCGAAGCTGACAGAAAACCGGATCGAAGACATTCAGAATAATAAAAAAAATCATCCCCGCATATACTGAGTATACGTTGACCTTTATATGATTTAACAGTATATTCCAAAAAAATTAATAATTTATAATAACAGCAACGATAGCAAAAAGCCCGGATTATATAACAAAAAAATTGGTATGCCTTGGTAAAAAGATAAGAACATGTAGAACATAGTCAATATGACCGTGCCAGGCACTAATACTCGCGGCTGCCGGCAAATCAGCACCGCCTCACAACGAATGTACGAGCATATTTGACCAACAGGAAATTTGCACGGAATTATCATTAATGGCATCTGAGACAACTCTGGCTGATTGTGCCGTCACGGCACGGAGGAACGTCATGGACAGGAATGGATGGAGGTGCGGACTTTCCGTTATTTTAGTAGGCGGAGGCCTCCTTGTCGCCGTTAATGTGCTGCGAGTAGTCGAAGCGGTGGGACTGGGCCGGGGCGCCGTTGGGCGACAGTTGTGCGCCGTCGGGGCTCTGCTGCAGACTGCCGGCGGGGGACACGATGGTGGCCGTGGTGATGCTGCTCACCGGCAGCGGCAGGTGCATGCCGGGGTACGCGCCCGGGGTGCAGTCTACGGGCATTATAAATGCCACATATATAACAAAATAGCACGCATATATACACTTATTAAAGGTCACATATACGATATACATATATATATATAAAATATAAAATGTATATAATGTATATGTGCAAGCAATCACGCATATATAAAGTTTTATCAAAGGTCAACCGCATAATGCTATATATAAAAGTAAACGCATATATAGAAAGGTCACTTATAGATGATCGTTGTATCTTCTTAAGGAGGACGGCGTACTTTGTCGGTAGGATCCGGCGGAAGCCAGCGAGTATCCAGCATGCCCCGCGGGCGAGGCCAGCTGGGCGGGGCCGGGTAGTGGGTGTCGCGCCGCCACCGCCCGCCCCGGCGGCCAGCGCGCCCATCTGACCGCCCAGCAGCATCTCCTGCAGGAGGCTGTCGATCTGCGCCTTGCCGATGAGCTTGGCCAGCTGGATCTGCTCGATCATCTGCCAGGCGATGCTCTGCAGCGAGGGAATCAGCAGCAACAGCTCACCGAAGCGTCCGCGCGACTCATACTGGCGGTCGTTGATGTAGTCCTCCAGGTTGACCAGGATCTGGTAGCGGATGTTCTTGATGCGCTGCGGATCTGATAGGCCTTTGGCGTCTGCCGGTTAACAATTTGCATTTTACTTCCAGCATTTTTAAAAAATGTATAAAATATTTACCCATATAAAAAGACAAAGGTCACATAAATTAAAAATGGCACTTATATTCCATACATAATTATTTTTAAATATTTATATATTTTATATAATTATAAATATATTTATATTTATATATTTATATAAATTATATATAGTATAATATATTTATAAATAATAAATAAAAATTGGTAGAATAATAGTCGATCAGGTATATAATTAAGATTAAAATTTTTAAATTTGCGTTTTGCTGCCAACACTACGGTTCACTTCCGGTCGCCGGAAGTCATGTCCCACCTACCGGGATCGAAGAAGACGATGGCCTTGGTGCAGGCGAACTCCTTATCATCGATCTGAATTTCTCGGAAGGGCTTAATGAGTTCCTGCAGGACACGCGCGGCAATGCGGCCAATGTCCACTTCGGTGGAGGAGTGCGGGACGATCATGCTCTCGTTGCCCAACAGCAAGATGTCCTTGAGGTGCACCGAGCGGCGCGCCACGCCCAGGATCAGATGCTCGCCGGCGTGCGCTCGCAGCAGCGCCACCTACATCCACAATCGCTACATTAAAGCACGACGAATTAAATTGTAAAATTAATTGCTAACCTGGTCATCGAGGGATAACTCGCAGAAGGGCCGGATGTACTTGGCCCACTCGACGAGGATGAGCAGCTGCTGCTTCATGGACTGGCAGACGTCCTGGATGGTGGCGATGCGTTTGGGCAGACTGTTGGGATCGTGCGGCACCATCATGCCGGTCGCGGTGTAATCCTATCAGACACACCAGTGAAATACCACTACTTTTGTCGCTTTTTTACTAAATCAGTAAAGGGGACGTTCCGATCACTCACCACAGAGCGAGCGGCAATCTCCGCCTGGTAGATACTGCTGACCGACAGCTCGGCGCTGTTGCAGTCTTCGTAGCAGGGCCGACGTGTGCTGATGGGATCCCGCTCGTTCTGAACCGCTGCACAAAAATTAAGCTTAACGAAAAAACGCTTCCGGCATGGAAATTTAATTGTACTGACCTTCTTTCTTCATGCCGGCGCGGAAGCACTTGCGCAGCCGGCAGTATCGGCACTGGTTGCGCTTGTCCTTGTCGATGACGCAGTTGCGACTGAATCGGCACGAGTAGACGTGATTCTTTCGCACCTGCAATCGTATTAAATCGTCCTTATAGCAGCGATACATATATACTGGGCTGACAGGTGCGCTTACGCTTCGCCGGAAGAAGCCCTTGCAGCCATCGCAGCCTGCAGAATAACAGTCATATTATACGAAGAGCAGTCATAAATCGGTTAAAAAGGGTGACCTTACTGAAGGCGCCGTAGTGTTTGCCGGTGGCGCGATCCCCGCAGATCGTGCACAGTTGTTGGCCGTGCGGCGATCCGCTCTGGGGACTGCCCTGGCCAGCGGCGCTGTTGCCGGCACCCGGCCCGGCCGGCGCCTGTCCGAAGGCCAGCGGCTGCATGGGCGCGGGGGTGCTGCGGGCGGAGTTGTTGTTGGAGGTGGGCGAGTTGGGGCTGGACTGCTCGCCGTGGCTGTAGGACGCCATGCTGGCCTGCTGCTGCTGCTGCACGGAGGGACTGTGGTTGCCGCTGCCGGCCATCAAAACGCCGGTCGACGAGGGAACATGCTGCAATTAAGATTTAATAAAAAAGCGGTCAAGCAATGGTGGCCGCTTGATATGTGCTTACCTGGATGACGGAGGGCTGCGACTGCGGTGCGGAAGTGCCCTGGATGGAGAAGGCGATGGCGGCCGGACTGACGCTGGGCACGTGCAGGTGCTGGACGTGCCCCAGACTGGCCAGACCGCCCACGTGACTGCCCAACATTCCCCGCTCGTCGTCTGCAAACATCCCAACCATTAGCCAAACTTCGTCAGCGAAATTCCCTGTTTTCTTCTGTTTTTACTCGGGCTCAAACTACATAATATTACGGAGAAGGAAACCGGCGTTTTAAAAACAGTGTTTTAGCGGAAAGGACCGTTCTTCCTGCGGCAATAACCGGCTGGCATTAAATCCATTAATTGTCCCTACTTCCGGTCATTTCACAGTAAACATTATACGCAATAATGCGGTAATACTGCGGTAAGCTAACCGATACTGATAGCGCTAATAATGCAGCGGTCGACAACAATATACTGACGTCAAACAATACGATGCCGTTTATTGTAGACAGCGATTGTCCAGTTGGACGCGGGTGGTAGGGTACGAGGAAGGAACTAATATTGCCAGTGCAAGGTGCCAGAAGTAGTCGTTGGAGTTTGGGTCCAGCGACGGGTACAGTCAAAGGACAGATTAATAATGCAGCAAAAGGGCGACGCGCTGTTTGCCTCTGATTCAACTACGCAACTCTAACAAGCATATTTTCGTGTCAAGCTACGTGGACAAAGTTTCCACAGTGGCTTTCAAGCGTTCGGCTGCAATTAATCTGGGTTTCGGCTCGGCGGAAGAAAGCGATGGTTATCGGCTTCGATCGCCAACAACAAAGTCACAGGCCGGGTCCATGCTGATGGACCGCCGCGATTACGCGCCCGCTGTGTATTTAAAGCCGGCAACTCGGAGTTGTCCGCGCTCAGCTAGCGCACACGCGCATGCCACGCGCTGGGAAGAAGGGCACTTCACGGCGCTTAATAAATTAACCGGCGCAGCTGTTCGCACATTATGACAAACTAGCGCTCTGACCTGCGCTGCTGCAGCCTACCGCCCCGGGCCGGCGCTTACCCTTTGGCCCGGCCAATCGTGACCCTTCCACCGCGGATGCTTCTTACCGCCGCCTTGTCGAGCAGCGCTGCACTTTGACCTTTCTGCGAAGGCCCGTTCCCACGGCACTCTTCGGCCGGACTATTTATACGTCTAACGATCTACGCTAGTGACACTTTTTCAGCAGGCGTTGCTGCGGACGTACAGGAGGAGTAGGTGGGCGCGAAGGAGTGCGGCTGGTGCGGATGCGGCGCGCTCATCCACTGCGAGATGGCCACGACGTTGCGCATGTGGTCCGGGAGGTGGTAGAGCCGGGCGGCGGCGTCCTGCAGCGCCAGGTCGGCCTCCTCCAGGACGCTGACGCTGACGAAGGAGTAGTCGCCCGCGGGCGGGGGCTGGTGGTGCGCATCCGGCGGGGATGCGTCGGCGTCCGACGCGTCCGGCGTTGAGGCCGGCAGATGTGCCGGGTCCACGGCAGCCGCCACACCCATCACGACGACGCGTGTCGACAGTTAAACGACGGTGAATAATTCCAACGACATGCGTTATTCCCGATTATTAGAGATTCTCTCGATACGGTCAAAATTCATGGAGAAAACGACGAAAGATTGTTATTCTGCAGGAATTATTATCACTGGATATAAAATAAACCTCATTATCAAGCAGAGACTTTCGGGAGGATACCGGCAAAAATTGGATGAATATTTTTACGTGGTCAGACTGTTTACGAATTCAATCAGCAGGAGAGCGGCTGGCCGTTGCTTTTCCTTGTTCGTTAGTTGATGCTAAATCAGTGTCTAAGAGAAAAACAAGCGCAGTGACACGAATTAGCGCCCTGTCGTTGTGGTGTTAGCTAGCTTTAATAACTGTCCTTGTTATGTTATCTGTACGAGATGGCAGGAGCGTGATACGCGATCACGGATATACGATCGTACGCGGATTGCACAGGCGCAGCGCTTTCACAGCGCAGATGCGGGAGCAGCGATAGCGCGCTATATTAGACTGCAGTTAGCCAATGGCAGCGCTGTCATATACGCGTATATGCAGCCGGCACTGTCGCAACAATTTATTAAAGACAACGGGCTAATTAACTAAGTACTGCACAAGAAAACACATCTGCAATCATGCAGACAGCCAGCGCCAGTGCGCAGCATTCCCCAGCTACAGCTCAGCGCTGTCCATATCGCGCGATAAGCATCACAAACAGCGCTGTCAAACCGAGATAAGATTTACACGTTCCTGATGAGTGAATAATTTATTTCTTCACTTGTCCTCACCACGAAAGTCGCGCTCTACTGCCACTTTGTTTTATTAGCAGAGAATTATTTCATCCAACAAGCAAAGCTGTGACTATACCGAATAATTAATTGCTCATATAGCTGTACGTTATTGCAGCACTTCCGGTCTCGAATAAATGTTATTAATTTATACGTATCCGTATTTTTTACTCGAAACCGAATATTAATGAATTTACTGCATTAAGCGTACTTGTATTAAGAAGCATTAAAACGATTAAACGAGCGATATTCCAGATTTTAACTAGCATAATATTACGTATATCGGCGGTTGTATTCTGCGTCTCCAGATAATTATCGAGCAAAATCGCGGATTTCCGGTTACGTCACTTTCCAAGTACCGCTAACTGTTACAGTATTGCGCCCAACAAAACGATAATTTTTAAGTGTTTTTTAGTGTATTTGCTAGTTCGCTACTCACCGTTGGGCGCCGTCCGGTAGCTGCGCGACAGCCCGGCCTGGCCGAGCGACAGCAGTCCGCCGATGGGCAGCGCCGAGTGCAGGTGCTGCAGACCGCCGCCCGCCACGGCGGCCGCGGACCCGCTGCCGGCCGGCATGGCGTAGGACACCACGGGGATGGCGATGGGTCCGTTGATGTTGCTGGAGAGTACTTGTTGGATGGACTGCGGACCCGGCAGCGGCATGGACATGGACATGCTCAGCGGCTGGTTATTATGGTGGGCGTGGTTAGTGTGGTTGTGCCCGGTGGACTGCACGAAGGGCGAGCTGACCCGCGAGCCGCTTTGACTGCCGCTGTGGCTGGCCGCCGGCAGCGGCGAGTGCACCGGCGTGCTGTGGTGGCTGGGCGGGGCGCTGCTGTAGTTGCTGGCGCCGCGGGCGGGCGGCAGCGCCGGGCTGGACGAGCGACTGACGTTGCGGCTGCCGCGCTCCATCGAATTTTCTTCCCACTGTAAAGACCATTGTCGATGTACTTAGTTGTTATTAAATTTTAACTGGGCTAGCCAGTAAAACGACTGCGTGCACGCGTCCGTCGTACGACATGACTATAATCAAATACAGCAAAACTAATTCCTATAAATCACGTAGGCATTCATAAAAAAATAACAGTGTTAATACTTAATACCCACCAAGAACTATAAAAAAATTAGTAATATTTTTCCGAATGTAATTGTTTAATTATGATAATGGCCGCAATCGAGAAAACCTGTGTGACGGACAGCTTGCTATTAATTAATAATTTCTGTGGCCTTCAAGCTTGAAGCTTGGTGCAGTAAAAACACAATAATTATGAAAGCTTTAATGAACGTGCCTTTAATGAACGTGGTTAACTCGCAGTTTTTGCTGTCAGCCTTCTTTAAGCTGCGTAATAACTGTACGGGTGCACGACTAGTACTGCCGTTTTTGTTGTGCAGGAGAATACGCACTGTGGAAATTTACACCATCATAATTACTTTGATACTTACTAATACAGATTAAGTTATTTAATTCTTAATGCATTTACATGTATATGCAGTACGGATATTCTAACTATAGTATGTTGAGCACAGAATGCGACAGAGTTAATAATAATTTTTCCGGGCCGGTACGAAGTCTGTGATGAGCTCCCGCACTGCAAGCGCCCTGTCAGCGACAGTAGCCAGGCAAAGGTCAAGCAGATGTAGTGCTTCCTATTTCCTATTGTGTTGTTGTTTTTACGCTGAATGTAAAAACTACACAGTCATAATACTGAGCTGATAAACTAACCTTCGAGCTGTGGAATTGGAGTTTGGCTGGGCGGCGGCGGCGGCGCGCCTATTCACGGGGAAGCCGGAAGCCCGCGATACAGTCAGAGTACGGTGGTGGCTGCGGCGGGCGAATGGCTGATTGGTTGTTGTTGGCCGGGGATCGGAGGTCAATGTCAAAGGGCGCTGACGTCACTAGTTAACTGCATATATAGCCCGCGCGGTGAATGCGAATGGACTCCGGCACGTCGTTCGCATGTATCAGCTGATGGTGAGAACGAGAAGATGAACTTTGGCTTGATGCGAGTATATTTTATAGGGATGGCAATATCTCTTGCTTAGCGGATTTAATGATCCCGCTGCACTTTAACAGGCCATTAGGCTGATAGGCGCAGGTACCTTCGCACTGTGATGCCGCGCATTCGCAATGCGACGATTGTGCAGCATGGGAAACGATCTTTAGCAGTCAAGTTAAAAGTTCCATCGTGGCATTGACTCGTCGAAGGGTTTGCAGTTTAACTTTGCTCCGTGTTATGTGTTGGGGTTGAGTACGTGCTTCGCAGCGCCGCACCGCAGTGGTGCTCGCTCGTTTCGGCTGTTGTTGTCTTATCAGCAAAAGTAAAACTTCCTGCGCCGGCGTATCAGCGCCGTTGTGTATTGCAGCATATATGCTCCATTATCGCCTCGCCGGTTTGGCGCAGGGACCGAAGCTTAATCTAGATTTAATCGCCACCATGTTATACAGTATTATGCACAATGCAGGCAGTAAAGCGTGTAAATGCAACGGCCATCGACGATTTATCCATGTAGTCGTCGCGTATAGAATAATGCGGTGTGTGTGCTTAATGCATGTTGCAGCTCGTGTTAGGTTAACTTAGGTACATAGTCGTGTGGTTTGTTTGCTCGCTATCTTTGCTCTGCAGTAAAAAGATAACGGCCCGCGATAAACGCCACTAACAAGTGAAAGCAGCCCCGGCTGTTGCGAATTGCGATCGTGATGGATTGGCGTCTGTTGGCGAAATTATTACAGTACCGTACAAAATATATATGCCACGGTTTGCCCGTTTTGTATCGCTTTTCTGCAGTATTTTAATTTTGGTCGCGGCACTGGTCACGTGATATCGAACGATTGCCCGGTCGCTTAATATATGTACACAGAGCAGTGTACAATCCAGTGTGACGTACAGATGCGTTGTTAGTAATTAAATTTATTTTAAGCATTTCAATCATGACCATATTAATTTAATTGCCGTATTGTGCAGTGCGTTGATGGTCCATTCGAATGCTGGGATAGGCCGAAGTAGGCAGTTCATATTAGCGTCAACTCCTGTGGCTGTAAATAAATGCTTAATGACGTTGGCTGTAAACTGCAGTCAATAAATTCCACCTGACTGCATCACTGACTCACCCGGCAAATGTACACGTATTAATCACCCATGGACTGGGATTGTGTAGAGGTATAGTTTACTCAGGTAATCAAATACACTCTAGTAAACAGCGCCATATCCCAACCACGTAACCGCCACCCTACACGGCTTCCCGCGGCGGAACAGAAAGAAGCGGTAAAGTCTTGTTAACTGCGGCTGCGGCATAGCCAACCGCCCTCGCGGGCGGCGGCGTACGTACCCCAGGTCCGTCTATCGATCCTTCTCGACGTTACCATCCTCCTCACCGCCCAGGCACCCACCCCCACGTTTACAGCCGGCATTCACCGTCCGACACAATACCAGAACAACATTAACAACACTCCACAGCGCTCGTAACTCTTGACGCCCGCGTTAACTAAACAAAGCCACACCGGAGCAACACAACTAAACTGCAGCGGGATGAATGCCGGCATTGTGGCGGGCAATAATGCTAACACAGCCAGCAGCCCGGCAATATCCGGCTGCAGGCAACTAGGGCATTTCCTGTACATCCACATCGTATAATATTCCAAATGACAAGTCCCGTATATCGCTGTCTGCGCCGGTTATAACGGCACCCGTTCGTTGGCTGTACGTGGCCGGATACAGCGCACATCAGCTGATGTCTCTCCGGGAATTGCTGTGCTCCCCTTTCGCGCACATCACGCACACTGTACACCGTAGTAAAATTGTTAACTTGTACGTACCGGTGCAGTAAATCCGTCCCGCGAGCGCTGCGCTCGTTGCTGCTGCCGGCGGGATGGATGGGATAGATATGGGCTGGAATGCCGTTTAAGAGCGGCAAATTGCCGGCTAACGTCCGCGCAGCCGTTGGCTGTACTTAAGCGCGTTGCACGCCGGCTGTACAGTGTACATACAGGATACAACGAGTACCATTTGGCCGTACAAATATTCCACGCAACGTACAAATACGCCGAGTGATTTTTGTATAATGGTATCGGAGCAGAAAACGAGACGGAGGAAGGGAAGGCAACGGGATGATGATGATCATCAGCCATCACCGCCAGTTGACATTTATGCAGGCCCGCGTTAACAACTCCAATATTCATCGGCCGTAATCTGCGCTGTATCACTGCGCTACACCGGCTCATCTTCTCCATTCAACACACGTCCCTAATTACATGTATTTTCCCGGACAACATTTCCGCGGGATGAGCGCATATCTATCTGTGTATTAGCGCTGACGCTAACCCATCATTTCTCCGTTTTTGCTGCTGTATAATTGTATCAATATTTTATAACGGCGCGTGGGAATGCCAGCAGCCTGCATAATGCAGTGACCGGCAAGTGCTTCCCTGCTCACCGGCAACTCTATCCCAGTCCACTTCCGGTCAAATTTCTGGATGTGCCGTCGGGCGTGATCGTTGGATGTTAGCGTGAACGTTAGTGGAAGGCATCCGTAATTCAATTGCCGCCTGACTGAACTGCGCTGTGCCGTTCACTCCATCAGGATTCGACTGCGCAGCGTATATCGGTTTAACCCACATTTTGCCGGCCAGCTGCAGCGCGCGTCCCGGTAAGTGATCCTGCATCGCAGCACTTTTACGGCTTCCACGTGCGCAAATTAAGCGGACGTGTGTGCGCTGATGAGCCTGGATATGGGCTTTTTATGACATTTACGCATGCTCTGCGTGCACGCGCTTTACCTACCCGAGTAGTCATTTCAACCAGTCGCCCAAGGTCACTTGCACCGTTGCAACGCAAGTCTTAAACAGGCATTTAAGAGCGTAAAAATGCGTAGTTAACAGCTTGGTTTAATTAATTAAAACAAAATGCACCGACGGGAAATAATTTTCAACTTTCTATTACATTTAAGTGTAAAGAAAGCAAAGTGTCCGCTGCGTAGTTGACCGGAAGTAGGCGGGCATATTGGCCTTGTTAGCGTACGTACTGCGTAAGTGTGAGTGGCGCAAAAACGCCGGCCCAGCGGCGCGGAATAATTAACGAACAGCCATGGCTGCCGGCACGTTCGCTGCGTCCCTTTCCCATTCATCCCTTCATTCATCAGCGCCGTGACTTGTCAATCGGCGCGTACAGCGTTCTCCTTAACCGCTGACCTGCACCGCGCCACAATTAATTCCAGGCTCCTGTATGCTGCACCGGGAATTAATCCGGCGCACGCAACAGGCCCGCCGGCCGGATTGCTCGACGCTATGCGTTCAGTTTAAAGGGCACATTTCTTGTACTCGGCCGTTTGCAGCAGCAGCAACGTTAAGTCAAGCCGCAACGAGCAGGAGGATCGCGCTGTGTCGAACAGATAACGGCGTCCCGCGGCGTATATATGTGCACACGTCTAATGTTGCGCATCGCATATAAAGCGAATCGCATTGGACATTAGGTGAGTGCAGTTAGACCGGCGTCTGGCAATTGCGCATCTATCCCATTACGGGATCGGCGGGAAGGCCGTTACGTTGGCCGGGATCATTTGTCAGATGATGCGTCTCTCTAACGGCGCCGCGTCCACAGCTGCCGGCCTTCCCGCGGGTCCGGGCTGGATCAACACGCGCGGACGGGAAAATGCGCGCGGCACTTATCGCGGCGGTTGACAATCATTGCATAATCCGTGGGATGAATCCGGCCGGGTCGTTAGCAGCGCATCGCTGTCCAGCCGCGCACCGGGCGGTGGCCGGAAGAGCACTTGTCGCCGCAGCGTTTCCCTGTTTATCCGCTGCATATTCCCGCAAAAGGGGATGATGATGGATGGCCGGCAATCGCGGGCATCGCGGCACAGCTGTGCTGATTATGCCTGGACTGGAGTGCGGCGCATCGTTTGCCCAGATGTAATGCGCACTTTCGGGCCCGGCAACGAACCGAGATTGTGATTTATCGCTGCTGTAAAGCTTGTTCACGCTGACGTGCCGACGCTGCACGGCCCCGTCTAATTGCTCGCTTGGGCCGCTGTGTGCGGGAGGGCGGAGCCACGCGCGACGCACATAACTGCCGTCCGCTGAAGACTACCTGTCACGCCGACGAAAAAGCTCATTAGCTTCACAAAAATCTCCAAGCTGACGATTTTAAATGAAAGAAATTCAGGGACTTCCGGTGCTTGACGCAATTGCAACCGCTTGATGCGGCAATGTAAAGCGAATTGTATTTTGAAAATTACATAAATTCCCGTTCTCTTCCTGTTTGATTTTCGCTACAAAAAAATGATTTCCTCTGCAATACTTGTATTAAAACAAGTAGAGTAAATTACGAAAATCATTCTACGTTATAAATATGTCGTTTGGAAGCGGACCGCATCGAAAATTGCGACGTAATCGAACGTGAAATAGTGCGAGTATTAACCGGCACATATATACACACGTTGCACCTGTCGAGGCACGGATAACAAGCCGGCAGCAAGCACTCAATCCAGGAAACGCGCTTACTGAGTGACATTATGACAGCGCCGTTAGAGCCGGCATTTACATGCGAATACGCTCGTGTGTAGGAAAAAGGGAGGAACACTCAGCCGGTTTCATTCCACTGTGAATAAGCCAGCTTTCGTTGTATTATTGGCGTGCTCCGCCAAATGGCGACCCTAATTAAACCCGGCCATTCACAGCGTGCACCAGCCCGCTCCGTTAACCGGGCCTGGCGCGCGTCTTCCCGGGAATAAAAAAAGGCAAAGCAAATCAGTTTATCTACGCCACAATGTCATACATGTTTGATGCGCACACAATTGCCATCGATTAGCCGGCGCGGATCGATCGCTGCTTTAACTCACTGTTGTTGGAAAATGCAACGTGAAAGCAGTCAAAACGCGTAGTACAGCGACAATGGGAACGCCGGGATACGCATCCGGTCGGTTTGGACTTTTATAGAATGAAGAGGCTGCTTTTGGACAATTTGACACTTGTCGGCCGGGTTCGGCATAATTCGCGTACGCGTATAATCAGGCCCGGCTAATCTGCGTCTTACACGCTGCTAATCCTAAACAACGCATTGTAGAAATCGCCAGTAATCCCGCCGGAAGTGCCCGCCAGCTGTACCGGCCCATCTCATCATCCCGTTTTCGCATTAAGCAAGCGCATTACCCAGCGTACCTATACACGTACAAAAAATTAATACTTAATGCTTCCAATCTAAAAATAATACACCTTAATACTTACTGCAGTTATATAAAAAATCCCTGTTTATAAATATACATAAAAAGTTCATAGTTATATAAACACATATATATGTATAGAAAACATGAATATGTATAACATATATATGTATAACAAAACCGCATATATAAACACATATATATGTATAAAAAACATATATATGTATAACATATATGTATATGTATATATGTGTATTTGTATATAGGTATATGTATATATGTATATAATCATATATATAAACATATATATCCATAACATATATATATATATATATACTGTATATATAAAAGCGCATATATGAACACATAAAAAATCTAATAAAACTTTTATTACTGTATGATATATGCTATTATACTTACATATATAAAACACATACTTCAGTATATAAATTTAATATTTACATATATATGGGCGGCGTAAATCGCCCATTTATCTGTTAAACGGCGATGAATAATGATCGTCAACTGCCGGCGATGCGATCGATGGCCGTAGTAATGCCTGGCGCTGTATAACCGTGTACATATATGTTCGCCGATCGATGCATATATCATTATTCTATGGGTCCCCGTGGCCGGATGTAGTTAGCAATATTTATCCATCTGTCGGTGTACGCGTACACTCTGTCCGTTCACTGCCGATCGTAGTCGTGGCCAGTGTAAAGTGAATTAGAAATTTGCATTACGGAACGGGAGAGTGCCAAGACAAATAGCCGCTCTGGACGCCCACTCCACTACTTTAGAATGACACTGCCTTCAAACAACGAAACTGCTCGACGCAATTTGCATACGGTACACGAGCGCGGCCGGCGCGTTCGGTGTTTGAGTGGGATAGAAAAACTACGATGTCATTGTGTCCCCATTAACGACGCGTTTATTTATTTCATCAGTTCCGGCGCACGTTTGGAACCTGTTAATTCCTCGCTCAGTTGTTGCGTTTTCTTATTGATAAAATTCGGTAGGTGTTGGATGTTAAAAAAATGTCCACATTAGAGAAATCACTCAAATAAACAAATAAAGAAAAATGAATTAAAAATCAATTAAAGGCATAAAACAAAAAAATGGGATTCCGCCGAGATGGCAGGAAATTCCCTTGTGGAAGTATCGGCACTTCCCGTTATTGTCGCTTGGCGCTGCAGGTAGCTGCCGGCGCCAGGCGGCGTGCCGCACTCTCGCAGTCTTGCACCCTCCGCTAGGGACGGCAGCTGCTGTAGTACGTATTTGCTGTGTACTGTGCACAGTGTGTATTCGTGCAGTATAATTATATATTATGGTTATATTAGTCCGTTTAACGTTACTTTCATCCCACATGTTGCCGGTCTGGGCTACAAAATATTTTCCTTAACCGTATTATTTGTATTCTGTACAGGCGGCACAACGTAATGTACTGTACACTCAACTGTACGTGCGGATCATTTCTCAATTATTTCATTTAAGTTCAAATGACGTTAGCAATTGCCAGTTATTACACATTGTAATTTAAGCACGGCGCATATAATATTTTCCAGCTCTTGCGACTATCGCCTGCATGGTTGCGTACACCAGCACAGTATACCGAATCATTTCGCAAGTCGATACTCAGTGAAATGTACTGAAGCTGAGTGCAATCGAGTCAGAAATTTATTGTGTATGTTTCTGAGTACTTCCGGTAAACGTTTTGCCGTACAGGTGCAGGCTAATGATATGTTCATTTTTATGAGGTCATGCAAATTGGCGGTGGCAGATTTCATCCTGCTAGCACGTACACTAGTATGCCAACAGGATGAAAACAGTGGGGCGGTGCAATATGTATATTATATGTTTATTGTCCCGTATTTTACATGTTTTACAGTATAAAGTACAGTATTATTACAGCTTCCAGTGTACTGCATTATTAACCAGCTCAGTCACAAACAACGCGCACATCCATATGTTACAGCCCGCTCTATCTCGACAGTAATGTAAACATTTTCGTACGAGCACTTGTGTTGGCTGCAGCTGCACCGCTGCGTTTCCTTCCGGCTCCTCCCGCCCACATCCATATCCTTAATAACACACAACCCGAACAAAACAACTGCACACTGTACGTATCGTACATGAATTATACATCCAAGTCGGGGCGCGGCTGACCAATCGATGGATGGATTTATTGGATGTATCGATCGCAGCAAGAGGGAAAAACAACTGCTGCCTTATGGGAAAAAACAACTCCCGCTGCCGGCATGATAATAAATACTATTACGCCCATCGAGCGCTTGCGTAAGAAGCCTGCAAGCTGCTGCACAAGGTTCACTAACGCCATGTTGCACTTTAAAGCAGATACGTAGCGAATCGCGGCTGGATCGGTCAGCTGGCCGGAACTGCACTGCCGGCGAATCAGCCGTGGCCGTCACGCCGCTGCGGTGCCGGTTAGATAGCCAAATGCAGGGCTTTCCGATTCAAGTTGTTGCCTAATGCAAGCTGTGCTTTAAAAAAGCGGCGGCATATTGCAGTTTTGAATAGGAGGAAAAGAACGGCCGGCTTCCGGTAAGGTCCGCTCGGCTGAGGAACAACTTCCGCCAGCACCGGATATGGCGTACTTCAGCGAACGAGCGTCAGCCGCGATGCAACGGAAGACCGACCGGCGCTTTCCAGGCGATCCAGACGATAATCGGCCAGTGGAGAAACGAAGCAGCCTTGACCGAAGAAATTGGAGAGCCTTTCCAGCCGCCTGCAGAGGGCGCTCTCGTCTAAACGTGACGTGCATCTACATCCGTTTGACAAAAATACAGCTGCACAATCTGTACGCGCGTACAGCATCTTACGCCGCGGAAGCGATGACTTACTCGGCAGCACGTCAGCCTGGATTGGCCGGGACTTCCGGCGGAGAAGTATCAGCCGGCGTGTTAACAATGCGGCGGGCCGGGCCTCCTTCCGCCTGCCAGCGCCATGCGCGGGTAATTACACGTATATTGCGCCCGCGGATCGCATCGCAACAACAATGCCTGACGTACGAGTGCCGCGGTGGTCCAGTGCAGCCAACCGCCTCCGCATCCACACACTGCACTGCGGTACGTGTTGCCGACAAGTGCGCCGGCGTGCGGCCCATCAATCGCCAGTAATTTCATCAGTCCCATCTGATTCCCGCCGCACTGTGTGAGCACGCGTATAGATGCAGAGAGGGCATGCGTGCTTAATTGTTATCAAGTGAGTGTTTGTTTAAGCGCCCATTGACCGGCGTGATTTCGTTAGCGCCGCGCCAACCCGGCTCGCTTAGCCTTCACCCGCATAATCAGCCTGTGTACTACACATATATACGCCGGAATCCGTTCTGTGCGGGAATAATTAATCCGCCCGGCGAGTTTTTTACCCGGCGCTGGCTGCAGCGTAATTCTCCCTGAGGAGAGCCCGTAAATCGCTCTTCCCTCATCCAGCTGTCGCCGCGCAACCGCTTCCGTCACGATTCCGCTGCCGTGCACACGCGTGCCGCGACGACTGCCTGCTGCCGTGTTCGCTGCACACCATCGCGGCCAGAATATAATAATATTATATCCGCCGTAACCCGCGAGAATTCCCAGGGAATCATCGCGGCATTGTTTGGCCGCGCGTAATCTGCCGTTAAGTGCGGCCGCTTCTTTGCCGCTATCTCCTAACGAAGTGCATCCGGGTCAAGTGCTAATTAACCCGGTGTATATCCGTACACCGCGATCTGTCTGTCTGTCCTCTATCTCGATCATCTCTCTCTGCCTTGTGTATCGCTGCTGCGGAAATCTCTGTCTTTATTGCACTGATGATAATTAAGCCGGCTATACGTGTATCCGAAAACCGTTGTCTCTCTCTCTGTTCTCTGTATCCGCCATCTCTGTGTGCGCCTAGGCATCAACGGATATCTGGAGCGGATATTTTCCCAGCCTAATCGCACTGATGGAAATCGGATGCGCTGATCATCATTACGCCGCTCATTATGTCACGCCTGCCTAATCGCTGTTCCTAGTGCGGTCTGTGTTTGTCCAGCTCGTCGTTTTCCTTTTGCCCAACATGTTAGTTGTTTGTAGACTCCATAAGAAGTATTTCCATACCGATTTACGAAAGCAAATGGGATTTACTGCGTTTAGGCGTAAGCGCTGGCATCGATGATAGAAAAGGAAAAAAAGCAGTGCAAATCGGTGGCGACGGGTTGCGCCCGGGGAGATAATTAAAATAATGGCCCGGGCTCAGCGCTTGAGCCCGGCTTGAGCGCCGCGCGCTCCTCGCTCGATCCGCGAGAAACGCAGCGTCAGTCGGGGGAGATAATCAGGTTATTGTGGATGGTGATCCACTTGAGTAATTGTTTATCGGGATATCGCCGGGCGCAGCTCGACAGTTCTGCGCTTTTTCCCGCGTATCGTGTACCCAATTAAAGAGCGTATTAATCAGCAAATTGACCGCCTCCGCCGATTATATTCCACACTGCCTGTCACTGTTAGCCTGCACAGTGTAGCGGCGCTTGCATTATATTAATGGGCGCCCGCGGCAGGGTTGCATCGCCGGGATTACAGCGAATGCAGCGGGGCAGTCGAGCGCAAATAATTGCGGACCCACGGCCGCCTGTTCCCCGTACACAGGCGTCCGGCGTACGGCGCGTTGCCGGCGCACGCACGCGTCGTAAAACCACCAGCGATCAGGGAGTGTAATCTGGTTACTAACGACAAACGCCGGCGTCGCGGGAATTGCCGGCCGCGTTAATGTGCAGTTGAACTTGTAATTGCATCCAGCAACGGCACGTGCTGGATAAACGCCGCCGTCGCAATATAAGCGGCGATGCCCATGTTAACAGCCAGAAATTTGTCATAGCCAAAATGAATTTTTTTTGTCCAAAATATATTCGCCGTTCTGCTTGTCAACGCGGCCGGTCAGCGGCTGCTAGCCGCACACGTGGGCCGCGTCGACGACAGACGTACCAGATGTACACATGTCGCCGCTGACATTTATTATCCACAACTCTTGACGCGCTGCTTATAATTGACAAAAACACTCGGCATCCGCTTCCGCAGCGTGCAGCGCTGCATACGTAACACTGGCATGCGTGAACCGCCCGCCGTATCGGCGCATAATGCGCGGCCCGGCATTGTGCGTATACAGCGTATACATCCACAACCGGATGTGCATCCCGCGCATCCTCCGCGTGATGGATGCGGCTAGCGTGCTGTAAAATAATCTGCCGTCATCGGTCGTTATTTAATTAGACTGGCGTTTCGTGCGGACACAAAGCCGCGGCGTTTTGTCGTTATGGCCAGATGAGCCGTGGAAAAAACGATCCCGCTTGTAAAAATCTAGCGTGCAGATGTATGTATTACGTTACAGTATGAATGCCGGGAATCAAAAGACACAAATGAAAGTAGGAGAAATTCCGAGGGACCCGGTTTGTCCTGTCCCGTGCAGCTGCGGCCGGCGGTCCATTGTGCGGCGCAAGTGGCACTCGTGTAACGCGATCCGGGTATTATGTGCTTCTCCTTTCTCACGGCCCGGGCGGAATTTTTCCGCTGCCTCTCTTTCGGCACGCGCCGTTTCCTTCCTTCCTCATCAGTCGCAGCAGCTGTCGCTTCCCGTTTCCGTTCGGGAAGATTGCGGCGCGTGTGACGGGATGCAGTACAAGTGCTGCATATATATTTACAGTGTTGTAATTAAGCTCTGAATGGGGCGAATCATATAACGCGACTTAAATGTAATTACCGGCGAAAAGCGTGGACTGATTAATGCCGGCATCACGCTGCACCTATTAATCGGTATTATGTCCTCGTGTACGTACCATTTCCGGCTGCTCAGTGATCGATTGCCGAGAGCCATGTATAATGGAAATAGTTTTATTAATTAAGAGGAGTCGTTGGTGTGATTAATACGGGGTATATAAATCGAGCGCTGAGCCGCTCGTCGTGTATTAACGTTATAAGCTCCGAGACGGGATTAATTGCTCATCCCGATTACGCGCCTGTATTAAATATGGATTTGAATTTGGGCAGGATCGGCCACTGGATTTCTGAGTCGACCAACCACTTGTTCTTCGGCGCCGACGAGGCCGTCTCCGAGCCACCGGAAATGCTCAACATTCGCACACCGGTAAGCGCCAATATTACATTCTTTGTAGGTGTATTTTGCTAAAGTGTGTGGTGGAATGCAGAGGGCGCGCAGTGAGCCGTCGCCGCGGCCGATGCTGCGCAACCGGCAGACGTCGGTGGCCGGCGAGTCGCAGCAGACCAACGGCTACGGCAGCCAGAGCACCGTCGGCTCCAACAGCGCCGCCGGCAGCGCCCTCCCCGCGGGCCGCGGCTCCTCGGCGGCCGCCAGCCGCGAGCGCAGCGCCGAGGATGTCGGCGAGATCCACTTCTCCATGAAGTACGATTTCCAGCAGAACACCTTCGTCGTCCGCGTCATAGATAAGTCTAATAAAACCTTAATTAACATTCTTAATTATCAACACGGACGCCGTTTTATGAATTATTTCTCTCTGCACAGGCCAAACGCTTGCCGGCCAAAGACTTCTCCGGATTCTCAGGCAAGTAATTAAGTGTAATTACATTATTACTTAATTGATTACATAAAGAAAAAAGAAATTACATATAGCAATAGATTTCTACAGAAGGGAACAAAATTAAAACCAAATTAATTGGAAATCATATATTATAATTATATAATTTTTGTATCAATTAATGTGTCGTTGCAGATCCGTACTGCGTGGTATCGTTGTTGCCGAAAGACAAGTACAAACTGCAGACGAAGATAAAGAAGCGCACCCTGAATCCGCGCTGGAACGAGTCCTTTCTCTTTGAAGGTCAGCCATGATTATTATTTCAGTACAGCATTTCAGTTACCTGCATGTCGTGGCGCAAGTTGGCTACAAGAACGAGTCAGTCACGCGCAGTCCGCTCATATTCATCTGCACGAAAAATACCATTTAATTTTTATACTAATTATTATTGTAGTATTAATTTTCAGTCGACAACTAATTACAGTATCTCTTCATGTACAAAATTCATCATTAAATTAATTTCCGCTGATTCTCAGCTGATATTCGACGCGGTACATATATAAATTAGTTAAATCCTACACGTGTTAGCTTAACCAATCATTTCATGGGATAATGATGAAGACGGAAAGAGGACGACAATTATGGTCTGCTGAGGAAATCAAATCGCATTCAGGCAGTAATTCACTGTGTATACGAGTACATGCATATCTGTAGATATAATTATAACGTAGTTGATGAGCGCGTGCACAGAATAAGATGATGATAGTTATGTACTGCAGACTTCCCGATCGAGAAGCTGAAGACGCGGACGCTGCACCTGCACGTCTTCGACTACGACCGCTTCAGCCGCGACGACCCCATCGGCGAGCTCTTCATCCCGCTGCAGGACCTGGACTTCACGCAGAACTACGACGTCTGGAAGCCCCTCCTCCCGCCCAAATCCGAGACCAAAGTACGTCTGCTCACTGTTTTTAATCGCTGTGGTAAATGTAGCCTGCTGAGTGACCTCTGTTATAATTATATACGTATGTACATCATTCTGTGCTATTGCAGTGCATGTATGATCTATACATCTACAGAGCGTACAGAATACCATTTTAGCCGAATACCATTACACAATACTCATACAGGTACTGTAAGTTAAATGTGTACTGGATTGCAGAACAAGTACGGCGAGATCCTGCTGTCGCTCAAGTACAACGTCACCGCCGGCGAGCTCGGCGTCAACGTCATCAAGTGCAAGGAGCTGCGCATACAGGACATCGCCACGCACTCCAGCGGTATGTGCATGGCATTACCGTACCGTTAATTACCGGTGTATCTGTTATACAGAGTATCTGCAGTACATGTAGATACAGTACAGTATTACGCAGGTGCACGCTCTATATATAATTAATTAGTCGGTCTCGACGTATCGTACCTACAGTATAAATCTATCTGTATTTATGGATCTGTGCATTATACCCGAACCGGAAACTTAAGTAAAAAAATAATAAAAGGTTTTAGTGTTTACTTATAAAAATATATACAGCGTCAGCGAATGACCTTTACATACTGTGAAATCGGTAGTGTGTATATTGTAGCGTATGATATGGACTCGTATTGTAGCACTTTAATGTGTATCGCAGCTGAGCAGAGAACTGACTGAAGTTAATGGGAAGAACCGTAACCAGAGAACACGAGAAGCACAGAAAATTGCTAGGACAAAGGGCAGAGAACAGAAATATAGAAAGTACAAGAAGGTCAAGAAACACGCGAATCTAGATACATCACACATACATCGTGACGTGGTTAACAACGTTAATCGATTTTTTTATTCGCTGCATAATAACTTGTACGTATAGTTATAGCTTTACAATATGTTTGTCGTCGTTACAAGCTGTCTGTATTGTACTGACTACGTGTAATAGCGGTATGTGTGTAACTGGATGTATTGTAGATCCGTACGTGAAGATCTGGCTGATGTTCGGCGGGAAGAAGATGGAGAAGAAGAAGACGCAGATCCACATGCGGGATTTAAACCCGGTCTTCAACGAGTCTTTCACCTTCAGCGTGCCCATGGACAAGATCCGCGAGGCCGCCCTCCTCGTCACCGTCATGGACTACGACAAGATCGGGCGCAACGTACGTAATCATAAGTGCAGTCTGTTCTTTTACTGTACTGATCCACTGCAATACACAGTAAGACTATAAGCTGGCAATGGAATATAATAATTATTCTTCATATACATAAAACATACCGGTACGTACAACAAGTTGTCATCACTGCGATTGACTGAAGCACTGTACTGACTACAGGACCTGATCGGGCGCGTCACCCTGAGCAGCCGCAGCGACCCGGCCTCGGTGGCCCACTGGAACGCCATGCTGCAGTACCCCAAGGAGGCCGTCTCGCAGTGGCACGTCCTCAAGGACGAGATATGATCTACGCTGTATGTACTTACAGTACAGTATACTCATCCCGTACAAGTGTACGTCCATATATACATCCGGCTCGTCCATCTCGTACTGTGTGCAGTGTAGCTGAAATAATTAATTTCAATCACGCTTCCCATTAATTGCAGTGCTCGTCGTCGGACGCCGTGCAGTGATGGCCGGCAGACGGGAAATGCCGGGCACTCGTTGACGTTGATTTGGCACTGGCCACCGCTCAACCTCCGATGCATCGATCCAGCCGCTTCACAGATTCTCTAGTATACATATAATGCCGTCGAATTCCTAATTAACGTTGTCCTGCAAGCACAAAGCACGATGCCGAATGCCGATCGACTGGCCGATGCACGCCAAACTGCACCAAATATCTAACGCAGCTTACAATTGTTAAGACGTATAACTTTGTACAGGGAAGCAAAGATGTGCTGCACACCGGCGCTGCCGGTTGCAGTTGGGTGGGTGCCAGCATAATGCAGATTGTCTGGTATTTTTCCACGGCACAGTATTCTATTCTATGGACGATTTTTCTGGCTGATTATTAACACGTCAACGTATCGCCGGCCTTGTGTGTAGCCCAGCAAGCGGGATTATAAACTGCTGTTTATTACAAGGACAGAACGAGTTCCACTTGCGAATTTTTCTATATACGTATTTACCAACAACGATCGAGGTATACGCATCGAACATTACGATTTAATAAATGTTTATTGGGCAAAGGCCATCAGTGTAACAAAAGTGTAACAAACTTAAAATGATACAAAATGATACGATTTAATTAAGTAATACTCTTCACCTCGGATAACATTCGCTCGACCCGTCGACTGCATGAGAATTAATATTGTTTGAATAGTTATTACACAGTTATACAAAATTATGAACATTGGCTAAACGCTGAATCACGCAGTACATTATTTTAGTACATAGTAAAATTTAATACTGTACACTTCATCCAGCCGTACGTCCAGTGTATACGTCCATACAATTGATGTATCTGTACTGTACTATTATCCGGCTGGTCGGTCATTATTATTGTATTACGCGTATATGTACAAGCTTGTCCGGTAATTTCCTACGTAAAGGTACAGCTAGCGCGAATTTTGCGCTTATAACGAGGGCCACTTCACTACGTTTATCAAATTCCTTAAATGCGCTCCGCAGTCAGATTGTCGATTACTGCACCGACCATTTTCCAGCCACCTTCTGCCAGGCAGTCACTATTATTCTTATTAAATTATATGGCGTGTAAAAAGCCACCAGCCAGCCACATGCAAGTTACGTGCTTAAAAAGTGTGGCGTGGCGCGCCGTAGTGTGAAGTTTGGCGAAACACGCAAATTTGTGTAAATCGCTGTACTGAATCGTCAGAAATTACCGGACGAGCTTGTACAGACAGTACTTTGCTATTCCACCGGACGACGTCGACACGGCACCCCGACCAGCCGGCCACGCCTGGCGCCGGGGTGGATCAACCGTCCAGTCGTCCATCTTCAGGTCATTTGCGCGGCCCACCGGATCGCTAGGAAACTCCCATCATCCTCCAGACCACTCACCGGCGAAATCTACACACTCAATAATTTCTTATGAATTTATACCATTTTATTTCTCGTATATGTTTTTGGTTTATTCTTGTAATTTACTCGCAATAAATTCAGCATATTAAGATGGGATTAATTGCTTCTTTACTAATTCGTACGAGTAAATAAAAGGGTTCATTTATTCTCAATATGTACATCAGCGAGCACCACTCAGTCAGTATATACAATCAAATGAAGACCTTGTATATCTGCACAACGTAAAGTGAAACCTCTCGATTCAATACAGGCACACATGGTCGACTACGTACTTTACGCCGGGCTCACCTGAGGCCGATACAACATACAGTAGCTACGCCAACACGATGTTGCCAACATCGAACATGTATACCGTACATAGCCGTAGCATCAGTTGAGCGTTGAGACAAACGGCGTCGTCAGGGCGGTGGCCTTAGTGGGAACAGCCCCACCCGGCCATCACAATCAAGTGCCGCGCTCAGTCTGACTCGACGATGTCGCCTGTGGGCGGCCGGCTGTGATCAGGGCAGCAAGCTGGCTGCGCAACTGACAAATGCAACCACTCCGACGGAGCATCAACGATCGCAGTATACGCGCTCTACCAGTACCATTTCATTTGTTTTTGGTAGATTAAATTTTGTTGTTCATTATATGTACATTCGCCTATTTTTTGAACTTGAAGTCGGAATTATTTGCCATCATCGATGCAACAGTGGTAAGTGCAGAAATGTACAGCACTTTTTAGCCGGTTTTACCGTTATTTTTATCGTCCGAAGTAGACGCATTGCGTAATTGCGCCCATTGCCTAATTGGCCGGTTTCGTTCATTTACTATCCTAATAAATTATGCGCTTGTAAATCTTGGAAGGAAGAGCTACTGCAGATGACAACATGCACAGCACGACACACTGGGGAAAGCGACATAACGATATGGACAAGATGACGATCAGTGAGTGCTGCAGTGCTTGTCAACGGTCATCTCGGAGACTGCAGGCAGTGGCGTACTCTGTGGTTATTATGGAGAAGCGGCAAGTAGCGCAGCGGCTGCACTGTACTGTACAATTGTACCTGGTCGGACAACATTAAATTTTGTAGCTGTATGTTACCAACTTACCGTTGTTATAATTATCCAGGCGTGACAAGATGGCAAAAACAGACAAATAAAAAGCTGTGAAACCACCGGCAGCTAAACGACAAACAATTCCCAGGAAAACCCAACATGCAAAGAAACACAGGCACCACGGGGGAATAAGCAGATGTTCAGGTTACTCGTAGGATTTCTTCTCTGGTCTATGTTGACAGGGACCGACAGCTGTTGCAGTCCCTGGCCAGCGGCGGCCTCCTCGCTCACGGGCACCTAGCTCCAGCCGTCGGAGCATCCGCGGCAGCCCTGCCAGCGACGCGCTGCAGCCTCCCGGAAGTCCATCTGCAAACGAAGCACTTCAGTATGCTCTTCGAAAGGTGCAGGGTAGCCATCCAAAGCCAGCCCGCCCCACTCACCCCCGAACGGTCGCCGCCTGGGTACTCGATGTAGATCCAGGTGCGGCCAGCATCCAGCCGACGCAACTCCAACGGCGGCCACTCCCGGTTGGAGCGCTACAGCCAGGCCTCCATCAGACAGCGCTGCGTCCCCTCCGACGCAGCGACTAACACCGCCGGCAGCTGCAGCGTGCCGAAGACGAACGTCTCCGGACCCACCAAGAGCTCGGCGTAGGCCACCCCGTAATAGCACCGCAACGCCTCCTCCCCGGCGGGCGCGGCCGTGCACTCCCGCCCGAACACTGCTCCCGTCGTCCCCGACCGCCGTCACCCCGGGACCCGGGATAGCGGATCCGAGGGTACGGGACGACGTGCAAGGGCCCCGTCGCCCGGCCCGCCGCGTCGCGCAGCCGCAACAATCCCGCGGCCATCCATCGGTAGCCGGTATGTGCAATTCGCTATGTGCCACCCTCGTGCGGCAGTTAGTTGGAAAAATTTCTGTTTTGGTTTTTTGAGGTTGTGTTTTGAGAAAATCTTGGTTGCACTATTGGATCTCTCCGCTTGCCCCGTGGCAAGATTTTTGTTATCGTGTAGCGCTTGTTGCGCGTGCATTGCCAATCGGCGCGACGGGATGCGAGAGGAGGATGCGGGAACGCGGGCCCTTTTGTTGGATGTGGAGAAGGATGGGGTCTCGTTAGCGAGCTGCCAACCGCCCAAGACTTGCACTACCCTGTTGCGCGGTGGCAACAAGGACCTCCTCACGAGTCACGAGCTGATGAGTGCAGTATGGACAAGAGGCCATGGATGTGGCGGCTAGTGTCCTTCTGCACCTGAGGAGCGTTCCCGGCGGCGGCGCCGTGGCAATGGCTTTGTCTTCGGCATACACCGCCGTTACTGAGTTACTCCCTCTTTTGCTTATCACAGTGAGCGTGTGGCGTTTTCAGCTTTGCTGTCAGAATAGTGTTACATATGATCAATTTGGCAGAGCTAATTAGGGAACGGAAAAAGGTCACGACCAGACCGGCCGGCAGCGCATGTCAAGTGGCTTTATTAGGAAAGTATCGGTCGATGGCAAAGTTGGTCAACAGTAAGAACAGGAATCAGCATGCTGATTAGTACTGTTGCCTTCGGAAGATTTGTACAATCGGGTTACCTAATGGTTCATGCATTACGGTATAACAGTCATTTAAGTATGCATAAAGCCATAAACAGACACAGTCCGGTTAAAGGCTAGGCATATCAGGGCATACATCAGTTATTAGTAACCTGTGCATTAGCACTTTGAAACATTACGTGACAATAGTTTACAAGTTTGTGGAGGAATTATGGGCGTAAAGGTAAGTACTTTGATACAGCGCACTGATTTGTGAGCGCAATGTTTGCATATGAAGCAACGACCACTACACTACGTGACTACAGTGCCAATTACAGTACAGTACAGATACAGCACAACCTAAGAAACTCACAAATTTGAATTTTTCCCTGTTTGTATGCGCCTACAATTTCTCGACAAGCTTGTGCATGATCGATTTAGTTACAATTTACAGTAAACGGTTACAACGGAAGGAGTCAATGCGGGAGGATTGATATTGCAGACAGTGAAACAGATCTTTCATGTTATAATGAAGTGGAATTGGTTGTTCTTAACGGTCATGTGTTTTTTTCGTAAAAGTGGTGAGTTTAAGTATAGAATATTACGGCTTCACTGGCTTGTGAGTACAGCTATTCGAGTGCGGTTTTTGCAATCAGCGCATTACTTCTGGATAAAAAGGCGGCACGAATCAGGTTATGTGGCTTCGTCGTGAGCAGTGTAATAGCGTTATGGAAACAGCATGAATATTGCAGAGAACGTATACGAAGTGGACGGAGAAAAGCACGACGTACTCGTATAATTTGCAACGATACACAATCGGCTAGATTTTGTTGATTATTTCCAATACGTATTATAAACTGTGAACGTATAAGAGTAAAAACTTAATCCCAGTTCGGTCGCCATTAATTTTTAGTCGTGCAAAACGTTGTCCGGAATGAATTAGTGCAATCGACTGAAATATAATGTTTTGACTGGTCAAGTTTTAGGCGCGCAAAGAATTGCGGCCGTTGCAACTTGCCAGCTACGCGGTACGTTGCGAAATCCTGATAGGTGAGCGGCTTTTTCTCGCTTGTTCGCGCACATGCGCATCTGCAGTAGATACTGAACTTTTTCTTTTGCGGCCGATTCCAGGCGATAGCCGAATCGTAACGAGCGGTATACAGCGGAGATAGTCGGCGAAGCAGACAAATCTGTCGTTGCAAAAACACGTTCTGGTTGTTGTTTGTTGGCCCATGAATTATGACTCAGCTCCGTACCGCGTCATCACAACGAAATGGGCGCCCGTAACACAGCAGCGCAACAGAGCAAATGGCCGGTCGCAGTAATTCTTTGGTTGGAGATGTCATAAAGTATAGTTTTCGACTGAATGAATTCTGTCGTCATAGTGTAGAGTAACCAACGGTGAACTGAATCACCGAATCGACAAGTGCAAACCTACCGGAACCGCGAGAAAGCACCGAAGCGGTCAAGCGGAGCAGTTGGGCATAATAAG